TAGTTTTGAGACGTTTATTGGCGGACACTTGTCGATGATGCTTGACAGCGACCGACTCTCTGCACGAGCTGCTCTTCTTTTTTGCTAAAAGGGCGACCCACTAGAAGGCGCTGGAGAGGACGACCCACTGTTCGAAGGCTTCGCCACAACTACCCCGGGTACGAAGAGGGAGCCGCCTGGTGACCTAACAGCTGGTTACTATGAGCGGGTCGTGGTAGGCTTTGAGGCGCTCCACGTTGACAATGTCGGGCCCTCGACGGCGCATGTCCGAAGATGGTTCGATGGGTTCAATCAAGTAATTTACAGGGGAAGTGCGTTCGATGACACGGTAGGGGCCTTCGTATTTGGGCAATAGTTTTGAAGATAGGCCAGTTGAAGTGGTAGGGATCGAGAGCCAGACGAGCGCTCCAGGGAGGAACGTGGGCGCAGTAGTGCTGGTGTCAGCGCGAATGCCTTTTTGCCGCTCTTGCTCATGCGTTGTAAAGGTCCTTGCAAGCTCTCGACACTCTTCAGCAAGCTTGGCTGTAGCAGAAATAGGCGCCCACTCGAACGGATCTGGCTTGTACGGAAGTATAGTGTCGATGGTGTGCGACCGGTGTCTTCCGTATAATAAAAAGGTGAAAAGCCAGTAGTGCTCTGAGGGGTGGTGTTATATGCGTAGGTGACGAAGGGTAGAATGGCATCCCAATTTGTGTGATCGACGGCGACGTACTTGGAGAGCATGTCGCCGAGCGTACAGTTGAAGCGTTCAATAGTGAGGCCATTCGCCTGCTGGTGGTAAGCAGCAGTTTTGCGGTGAACAACGTTGCACTCTTTGAGAATGGCTTCGACGACTTCAAACAGGAAGACGCGGCCTCAATCACTGAGCAGTTCCTGAGGTGGACCATGTCGCAGCATGAATCGTTGGAGCAGGAAGGAGGCCACATCGCTCACTGTAGCCGCGGAGAGAGCGGCAGTTTTGGCGTATCGCGTGAGGTGGTCCACAGCAACAATGGCCCAGCGGTTACCAGCCAACGTTAGTAGAAATGGCCCATACAAATCGATGCCAACGCGTCCAAACGGCCTGCCAGGGCAAGGTGGAGGTTGCAGACCTACCGGCAACAGGTGCATTGAAGTTTTGCGCGCTGACATTCTATGCAGGATTGAACGAATTTCTGCACGTAGCGGTACATGCCGCGCCAAAAGTACCAATGGCGAATGCGGTGGTAAGTCTTCGATATCCCGGAGTGCATTCCCGGAGTGCATATCCCGGAGTGCATATCCCGGAGTACATTGCGGATCAGAATGAAAGAATTCGCATATGTCAGAGCGCAGACTGCGGGGTATGACTAGTAGCCAATGGCGGCCGTCACCGTTGTAATTGCGTCGGTGGAGGAGGTCGTCGCGAACGGTGAAATGGTGGGCTTGACGACGCAACGCGCGTGTGGATGGAGTGGATGGATCAGTCAGCAAGTCTATCAGTGAGGCAATCCATTGATCCTTGCGCTGTTCAGTAGCAATGGCATGAATGCTAATGGAAGAAACGGTAAGGTGAGATGCCGAGTCGTGGGCATCGTCGTCAGGCAAGGGAGAGCGCGACAGGGCATCGCGTCAGCATGTTGCCTTCCGTTGCGGTACAGCACGCGGATGTCGTAGTCTTGCAGGCGAAGTGCCCACCGGGCGAGACGGCCTGAGGGATCTTTCAATGACGACAACCAGCATAGTGCGTGATGGTCGGTGACTACATCAAATGGGCGACCATACAAATAAGGTCGGAACTTGTTAAGGGCCTAGACGATTGGCCAGACATTCTTTCTCAGTGACGGTGTAATTAGTCTCGGCTTTTGTAAGCGCGTGCCGAGCGCGTGCCTAGGCCTAGGAACGGTCCTACTTCGTTCAGCCGGCTCCCAAGCCCGGCCCGTAAAATTCTCATGCACGCCCGGCATGAACGTGGCCGGGCCGGGATCGCAGCGGTGATCGACTTCGCTCCAAAAAAATCCCCAAGCTCGAGTCCCTACCTGGCGAGCATTCCCGGCTCGACCACGCTGGCAGCAAGCGAGGGCTAAAGGACGTCGGCGCACCACGTCAAATGACAATGACGAAAACATGCAAGCCGAGCTGACCAGGCGGGTGACGAGAAGTGGCGTCACCACAAGGGCGACCCACTGTTCGAAGGCTTCGCCACAATAATAATAATAATAATAATAATAATAATAATAATAATAATAATAATAATAATAATAATAATAATAAAATGCCTCAGTAGCATGGCAAGCTTCTGCTGATGGCAGTTCTAGCCTTGACGAACCAGACGACCTTCAAGCGAAGCCGAAATTGTGGCCTAGACAAACATGCATAAATTTCCAGACGTGGGTAATGATGTGGTTCGAAACTCAGAAATGCTGTGCAATATGTAGAAGCAACACACATCAAAATAGTGCATGTACCAACGTGGAACCTAAGGAATGCTATAGCCAATGTGAAGGACAGGTTGCCGAGCAGGAATTTGGTTGGTCTTGTTTATGCCGTAGGCTGCCACAATTGTGACAACCAGTACAGCCACGGCGAGGTCTGTGTAGAGTTTGCGAGAAGCCAGTTTTCGCTCAACGGGTCAAAACCCTGACGGAGTTTCGGGCTCTGAATTGATGCAACAGGTGAACGCGTGGCCTAGTTGTCAGGCTGAGCACGTCAGAGCCTGATCATACCTCAAGGTTTCGCCCCGCAGAGTGGAAACGAGCTGCTCGCGTGCTCTACACAGACGTGGCCGCGACTGTATATCAGTGAAACGGGTGATTTTAAGAGAAAAGTTAAACAACAGAAATATGATGCCATGAAACAATGCGTGGCCTCCACTGCCCTCTCTGAACACGCAGAATCCACAGAGCACGAAGTAGACTGGTCAAACTCGTGTGTTCTGGACAAAGAAAAAACCGGCATGCCCCCTTTGGGGGGGGGGGGGGGGAACAAATGCATTACACAGTGGTGGGATATCACGTGAATGTTGCATAATTGAGTATGGTTTGGGAATGCATAATTGTTATTTTGTCTTCAATATTCGTATTTATTGAATGAAGGAATAACATCACCTTCAACGAGTGGTGGGACGCTGATATTGGCTTATGCCCTAATACTGATTGAAAGTACTGTTGCTTCCATTGCACCTACTCGAGTAAGCAAAGCGTCAAGTCAAACAAAAGCCAAGTAAAGACTCGATTGACCGAATTCTGAATGCCCAATCCAGTGCCTACATATACATGCAAGTGAACGTTTGTGCAGCGCGAGCAGTCAGATTTTACCAGCAGATGCTGCCTGCGTGAGCCATGCAAGGCGAGAGGGAGGGCACGAGGCGCGAGCATGCGGCACGAGACGCGAGATGCAAGCATGTGCAGTAGGGTGTGGACACCACTGCCAATGCCAGATTTGTGAGTAGGTGTGACTATAAAATACTCCGCATTTAAAATAAGCTTGCATCATGCCTGCACCTGGAATCAAGATACAGACGAGTGTACAAACGCTGAACAGGAGTGATGGGGCACTTCTGACAATTTACTCTCGCTGCTTACGTCATGTATTCAGGCATGCTTAGGTACGCCGTGCCTTTCTTATGGCTTTTATTGTGAACAAGGCTCTTTCCCATATTGGGTGCCGAAAAGTCAGTAAACTTTGTGTTCCATGGGTCGGGGTATCCTTTCGTCATTGCACGACATTGCAAGCTTTGATCAATGATAATGCTTATTTTTTTGACAGCCGCACAGAACTGCTGTAAGTTTCCATGACCTGGCCAGGTTTTTCAGAAATTCCCTGACTTTTCCAGAAGGGTCCAAATTCCCTGACTTTTCCAGGTTTTTCAGGTTTTCCAGGTTGGTAGACACCCTGGCTATGTACTTTCCAGTGTCGTTAACCGAAATGGAGGTGCCGGAGTAAATTAGATGGCAAACCTGCAATACCTGTGAACATCACTCTACGGTAACAAGAAAAAGGCACGCACGTGAAAATTTCGCAAGATTTATGAATCAGCACGCAGCAGTCACCTCAACAAACGCAAATGTTTTTTGCTTTTTCACCGAACGACAAATGTGCTTCAACAACAGCATTGAACCACTCAAAGTATGTAAATGACAGATGACAATACTGCTCCGTTTTGCAATCATTATGTTCAAGCGAACAATTTACAGTGACTCTTTTTTTATATATAGAAGATTCCAAAATGAACAGCGTAGTTGCGATGAGACTGAAGTAAACCAAGGCTCACTTAACCATACTTTGCTGTTGTCGTCATTCCAAAACAAATGCAGAAAACATATCGTACACAGAAAAGTCGTGGCTATTGCACTGCTGAGCGACGAGACAGACACAAAGCACACACTTGTTCCACGCCCTAAAGAAAACTTGACATATTCATTTAGTTAGCACACACATGCCTTTCATGAACTGCTTTTCGCACTGTCTTGCAGAATCAAAGGCTGCCACGAACTACTGTCTTCATTGTGGCGCCTAACAGCCTTGATGCACGCTTAGAGGTGCTGATTGTCATGTTTCACCAATGAGAAATGGAGAAGAAGATAATGTTGCTGCTGGGTACGCCTCCATAAATACATCTATGAGCTGTACTAGTTGCTGGCATCGCACTAACATAATCACATTAAAACATAAATTTATTGATTGTGCCGCTCGCACCACTCACATCACTCTCACCACCGATGCCACCGCGAAAGAACAGGCGGCATCTGTAACGGCGCCCCACAGATCGTTTTCCAGAGCCGCCGCCAGGGGGTCGCGCATGCGCTGTAGAGGCATGCAAAGGTGGATTGTACAACGCTTATAATGATGCTGGCTGCCGCAAAACACCTGTCGGCGCATTTTTCGCAGCAAACACCACAGTGCAAGCTATGTGCCCAGGTTCAGCTAAAATTTGGCTTCTATAAAACTACTGCATTTTTGGCAGCAAGAGTCAATGAGTGAGAAATGTTGTGTTTGCTGAGAAAACGTTGAGTGAAAGGTCCGGAGGAGTTTGCACTCACCTGTTTAGCGGAGGAGAGTAACGTGAAGACTCTTCTTCCACTTCAGCACCAGGAATCCTGCCTGCAGTTGCACAGAGAAACAGATGAGGCCCAGAAGAGACTAAGTGCAACAATAGGCCTCGGCCTTGTTAAAGGTCATATTGCTTCACTAAACATTACATCGAATTCCACTACCGTGCATCTTTTATATCCCTAACAATGTGAAATGGTAGACTATTGGTGAAACGAAAAACTTTTCAAGCAAAATTGCTACTTGAATAGAATTACTTCTTTTAATGTCGCTGGTCTCGTTACAGCACTAGCACTGTCCCCTTTTTTTCACCTGTCCTTGTTTTCGGCGCTGTGAAGTTTTTCCACTAAGCCAAACTCACCCAAGCTTCTATACTCCTAATATACGTACTTAAATTCTGTTCCATTTACTTTTCATTGATTGATTGATGATTGATTGATTTGTGGGGTTTAACGTCCCAAAACCACCATTCGATTATGAGAGACGCCGTAGTGGAGGACTCCGGAAATTTTGACCACCTGGGGTTCTTTAACGTGCACCCAAATCTGAGTACACGGGCCTACAACATTTCCGCCTCCATCGGAAATGCAGCCGCCGCAGCCGGGAATCGAACCCGCGACCTGCGGGTCAGCAGCCGAGTACCTTAGCCACTAGACCACCGCGGCGGGGCCCCATTTACTTTTCAATACGTGGAACTTCTGTATAACGGCACATTTTAGTGATCGATTTGGAATCCATTTGATGAGAGTGTACTGTATTCATAGATGCTTCAAACCCTGTCATCCAAGTGGAAAAGGAGTGTGACTATCAGTAGTGATACAATTCATAAAGGAAAATGTTCATTTATACTGCTTCATTAATACAATTAAACCCCAATACAGTCATTAACACAATTAAACCTCAATACACTCAAATTCTGTGACAACAAAATTGACAGAACACGTGAGAAAAATTTGCTGCTGCGGAATTTCGTTGTAGCAATATTACACCACAAAATTTGGTGAGATCTGATGATTACGACTCGTCCTTTGGTACCAGCAAGCATATGCATTAAACTCTTGCTAAGTGGAACGTACCTGGTCGTACATCGATTGAACGTATTTTTTCGCGTATAACAGGATCAAAATATACAGAAAATTTGGAGCTGAAGTCGGCGTGAATAATACACGAGAATTTTGGTGCGCAAGCTGGCTTTACGGCACCCCTTCACGGTAATGCAGGAAAGAAGGTCTTGCGTCAATACGCGGATACTTTTTTTTCTTTATCCCCTGGTTTTCTGTTGGTGGTGCCGATGATATGCACAGGCGGGTTATACATAAGAAACGCCATTCTCAGACGACCCTTGAAGCGTGCCGAGTGTGCAGCGCTGCAAACGAGCGTTCCAAGTACTATATTAATTCTATGGTTCCAAAGCTTCGATAGAGACCAACTAAACACTGCAACTGAAAGTGCTGAAGCTCCGTAATACCATAGCAATAAGTAAAAGACAGGAAAGCCGCTCCGTACAATTTTACGGCTTTATTGACCGTAATATACAGCCATGTTAGCTGCGCACCTTCGCAGCCTATTCCTTATCGACAAACGCGACGACAGCGACCGCGGTTTCCTATGAAGCGGTTGCGGCGAACGGAAACCTGTGCGTGCTGCGCTAGCCGTGCGTGTGCCCTTAGAACTGTGCTGTTGCTATCCTTGTCTGCAGCGTTATGGCAAGCAGTACTATTGGGTCAAGTCGACTTGCGTTAGATGCACGCGTACTTATGTCGCCGAGGGCTTCATTCAAGATCGCAGAACTAGTGACGCCCAGCAGTACTTTTTTTTATCGCGACGTTAAAAACATGGAGGGAGTTCTCAAAGAATAATTCTGCCGTGGCCCGCACGTGCATGAAACCCACTGGCAGAATCATATGGTGGGTGAGGATCTGTTGCTGAGCATCTCAATGATGAACAATTCACCAGAATGAGCGTGTGGTAGCAGAAAGCATGTCTCCGATAAGGTGTTGCAATGCGGCAACGAGTTCTATATGTCAGGAGCTAATCAAAAATCGCCAAGTCTATAGCGTAATTCGGCGGTGATCCTAGGCAAGCTTATTTTCCTTATATGGTGGTACTCGTGAAAACTTCGTTGTAGCGGAAGTATCCAGGAAAAGTATTTTTGTGACCAGACATTTTTCACATTGTTTTCTGTGGGTGGCTGATGGAAAATAGAAAATTATTCGATATGGCAGAAATTTCGCTGTAGTGAACTTCGTTATAGTGGGATTCAACTGTATAACAAAGCTAGTGAAATTGGCAATACGACTTCATAATATCAAAATTGGTTAATTTCACTTTTAAGGCCAACTATAGTTACCAAGGATTCTTTTTCACGCAGATAAACGTAGAAAAAAATTAAACAGCATAAAAAAATTGCCGTTGTTGAATTTAAGCCCTCTTCACAATCAGGTCATGCATAAAGTGAAATAAATGAAGATCCAATGCACAGTGGTAATATGAATAGAAGCCAAGGTGCTGATGCACCTTTGTTTGTTTATCCTCTTCCACCAACCAGAATGACTTGTTGTCAATGTGCAAGATGCGTGCGACTCAAAATACCATGCTGCCATCTCCCGTCGAACGGCCACTGAGAACACGGCAGGGCATCTCCTCAGGGCAAAGTGACACAATCTGACTTCGATGGGCAAACGAGTGTGCGTGGAGCATGTAGCCACTATTGTCAGCCGCGCAATGGTTTAGTGGCATGGTGACCACACAGAATTTGGAAGCTCTTTCCACTGGACTATATTATATTACACTATACATTATTACACTATATTATATTCAAATTGTTATTTCAGAGCAGTGACTTGCAAGTTTGCAAGACACTCTTCAACGCCTTTTGCATGATTGATTGATTAATATGTGGGGTTTAACCTCCTAAAACCACCATTTTATTACGAGAGACACCGCAGTGGAGGGCTCCGGAAATTTTCACCACCTGGGGTTTTTTAACGTGCACCCAAATTTGAGCACATGGGCCTATAGCATTTTTGCCCGTTTTGCATAAATGAGCAAGCATTACATGATATAAAAAATTTGTGAGCATGGAGTGTCACTGGAAGCAACGGCTGGACAAGTGGGATTTTCTTCAAAGCTGCAGCTATTTTTCCTAGGATGTGTGTATATGCTTCTTACACTCTTCTCCCCCCCCCCCCCCCCCCCCTGAGATTTAGCTTTAGCACATGATATAACTGAGTTAACATTAAACTATAATGAAATCAACTTCTTAAAAGGCTGCTTATCTTTTACTGCAAAACTGTGTTAAATGCCCCTTAGCTGTGTGAACTATGGAAATCGCAAAAGGTTAAAAAGAGACTGAATAGAACAATGCAACTGCTCAAGCTTGGACCTCATGCTTGTTTTTTTTATTTTAAAACATGATTTAATTTTTATATGAATAAAGGTAAAAAATATTAAAAAAACAAAAACAACATGGCCACCATGGCCAGATTCGTGTGACCCCTTGTGATTTTTCTAGATTTACACCACTTATTAGCATACTAGAATTATAGTGTATACAGCTTGTTTTTGTTTAGGCTCACTAGATGGAAACATGGTTCAACTTAGTTTTTTTTTAATTAGCAAACACCATTTTGGAGCAGCATTCCTCCTTTGAAGCAGTTTGGAGTAATTGGAGCAGAAATTCCGTCACTGTCCCATGTCTGCAATGTAACATCGAATGTGGTCAATGTTTTCCAGCAGCTTTGATGTAGTTTGGCGAGGCTTCAATCCTGACAATTTCAGAATTTCGGCTCGTGTGATACTACCATGATTAAATGCAAGAACAATAACCAATGTCACAATTTCTAAAGGGACATCAAAGGCAAATAACAATTTAGGTTGTAGTGAAAGCTCAATATATGACATCTATAACAGCAGTAGTGTTATCCACAGCAGTGCTCTGCTTACCGAGAAATTAAGATAAATGTACCACATGTTTGCTACGAGTGGGGCCTTTGCGAAATAATCCCCACAACATGAGTGTCTAAATACAATTAATCACTAGTAATCAAACTAGCCACAATAAAAAAAAGAACCTTCCATGCATCAAGAGACGCAATAAAATGCTGCTTGTTCGTTTCTATTTAATCTACAGAAAAAAGAACTGCCTTGCATTACTATGGGGAATGGCACGAGTGGCTCGAAAAATTTCGTATTTGCCTGGTTAAGCTGGATAGGTGGTGCCATCTAGTGGGGTTCAGCTGAACCAAGCAAGGAGAAAATCAATCAATGTCTGTTGTTGGTGCTGTGGCTCCCGCTACTTTCGCTCTGTTGCTACTAATGTAGGCGGCCATGCAGTACAGGCGGGTAACAATGGGCCTGGCAACAGTGACGTGAGACTGACTGCTTTCAAGCGGGGCACTTGAAGTGCTCCAACGCGATGCGGACCACTAAAATGTGATTTTATTTCGAAATAAGCACTTCCTTGGCACAAAAGTAACATGATGAAGTTTCCGGACCTATTTCAGCAATTACCATCGACTTTAGGGTAAGCAACAATATTGAAAAAAAAAGTTTTTCTTTTTGCGCAATTTGAAATCAGGAGCCTTTTCTGAACAAGAATCAGTCATTTGTTTGTTCTAGCACTACTTCTCTCTGTCTAAAAATCACTTATTTTGAAACCTACGCAAAACACATTGGCAGTTAAAGAAGCGCCGAAATGAAGGGCACTAATTTTTTGACAAGTTTAGTGGGAATGATATTTGGTCTGGCAACAAGTGCATCTGCCAGGTCATTGTTTAGCTGAAGGTTTTCTTTGAATGCGTAGTATGCGCGCATTGTTTGCAGAGTTCCAAAAGTATTACGGTTTAGCCATTAGAAAAAATATAGGCAGCTTTGAGGACATGCGAAAGGCTGTCTGAGCCACATATATTTCCACACGGCAATAACGAATACCAATCCATCAAATGGCTTTTGCCCGAAGGACACTGATACGTAAACTGAATACGTAAACTAAGCATGCCATTTTAAATAATTTTTGCCATGTCACGTGCCACTGTTTCTAACGTCGGAGCAGAGTTGTCTATGTAGAGGACCAATGTCACTGCATTGCCGTGTATGTAAGGCCATTCAAAGCGCACATCATGCCCTCATTCTCTGGGCGCGTGCCGGCAGAAGGGAGGAGGAGCAGCGTTCATCTTGAAATTTGACCTATTTCCGCGACGCGTAGCATTGCAAATTTGGGCAGACGTGATGATGAACGCCTCATTTACACGTTGCGCTTGTCAGCTCGAAATTGTCAAACCTGGTGAGTGGCCCTTTAGACCACGTAGTGGGTACATAGCAAATTTGAAAAAATTTCATGCACAAAGTGTTTGAAGTATACGCACTAGTAACAGAATGTCGCTATCATGTTCAACTCCTAAAGGCGAAGCTTTAGGATTCCCTAATTCTTGCGATAGTGTTCACTTTAACAATTTCTCGTGTCAACTGGTTACGATTGCGGCCCAAGATGACACACTAGTCAAAGAATAGAGTGCATGTAATGTGTGCTGCACCACACGTTTGCAGTTTTGTCATGTGTGTGGCGTCACGTGTGCAGCAAGGTGAGCTATATAATGTGCTGTAAGGTCACGCAATAAATACAACTTTGAAGTTAGCACTCATACTGTCGTCTGTATTTCCCCCCCTTCTTGACCGTACAGCATCTTTTCTTCACGCTAAAACTGAGCTGTGCTTAAGTAATACCATTTTATCATGCACCAACTCGCCCAGTCAGCAGTACGTGTCGACTTCATATTGCAGGCATTTCTGCTGTTCTGCCGCTCCCTTTCATTCTTTCGTGCTCTTGTGACGATGTGTGGCGATAGATGGCACTGTGCACAGGCACGTCAGATGTTTTCAGGGCTGCAAGAGTTGGCGAGGTCGAATCACGAGCGTGCCAGGAAGGTTATCTCTCTCTCCTCAGCTAGTGCAGGGTAAGCACGAGTTTTCCTTCGTCCCCCTCCCCTTAGGGAATTGTCAAACTGTAGCCTGCCTGGTTGCCTAGGCATCCATGGCGCTAGCTCCGATTCCATGCGATTAGCCAAGCAGCGGTGCCTTGTGCTTGACGTAGACGTACAACACCAAGCCGCACTTGCCAGAGGCCTTCGTGTATGAGGTTTGCCCTAACTCTCGTGACCAGGCCCAGTTTAGCCGTGAGGGAGCTTTCCCCGATTAGCGTGTCAAAGCTCGCCGCTGTGAGCTACGACGTGCTTGCGATCTTCCTTTTTTGGTGAACGTCGGCGTGCGGGAGCCTTGGCTCCCCGCGTCCTGGGAGCGGACATTGTATTGTGTTTGAGGTACCACCAAAGGCAATAAAGTGTAATAGTATGGAAAGCTGGGAGAGTTGGTTTGAAAACATTCTTGGTGACATTTTGATGCACACACAGTGAACGGGAAAACGGAAGGCCGAGTTGTGAGTTTGCGCTTGTTTGTCTGCACACCTTCTGCTTTCTCGTTCACTGTGTGCACATCGAAATGTTACCAAGAATGGCAATAAAGTGTATGTGTGTCTTGTTAGGATCGAACACTGTCTGTTTTGCAGCGCCACGCTAAATGCCTTCTAGTTGAGCAGTGCACTACACGTGAGCAGGTGAAGATAAACACGGCCGTGTGGCTCGCTAAGCCTGAACCTGTGGTGATCTTTCGTTACGGTGAGTAGCGAGATTACCACAGGCTTAAACAGCTGGGGCAGTCATAGCTAAAATACAGCTACTGTTCACTTTGTAAGGATGCGTTCCTTTTTTTCCATTTCTTAGAGAGCAACATTTTTTCATTACACCCATTTTCCCAAAATAAACATGGCATCCATGACACAGTGGAGCAATGTGCGGCTGCAAATGCACTGCTTAGTTTTTGAAGAAAAATACAGTTGTAACATGACACTAAACACTAAAATGTACACTAAACCATCGAAATGCTTCTCCCATTCACCTTTTTGCATATATAATTTTGTAAACAAATTAATGATGCCAACGAGCATAACTAAAATCAGCAGCAAGCTGCTGCACTTTTTTCAGATCAACACAAATGTGCGGAAGCCCCACTTGCAGTCTGTAGCCTCAACTCCAATGTCAAGATAAGCTGTCGCTGAGTATAAAGGGTGTGCACTTGACGTCATCGGCGAGGATTACTAGCGTCGAGGTCGCCATTTTGGCGGTCCACACGCTGGCGACACGAGTGAAAAACTCACTGCACGTGCTGTGTCCGAGATCTCTAAGGCATCTTGGATGTCTAGTAAATATATACCTTCTGCATGCAGAAGCACAGACAGCTGGACGCACATAGGAACGGACCTTCAAGATGGCACGGCAATTGTGTTGCTCGTTTGCGGGTCAAGGCGGAGTGCGTATCCTCTATCCATTGAAATGCAGTGCCACTGATTCAGTAATTTCTTCGCCCTGTGTGCGCGATGCCTGTTCAATCCAACATAAACAGGCTGTCCTGTTTCACCAAGGTACTGTTGGTGCCAATATGAGGAGGGCTACAGATGGCACTTGATTGCAAAGTGAAAGAACTTGCAAGCAATGAATTGTAGGTTTCGTGATCAGGGTAAACAGATCAAACAAGATGACGAGATCAATAACTAAGGAATGGAGACGATTGTGATGTAAAAAGAAAGCAGCTAGACAAAGAACGTCCTGCTGTTGTAGAATAACAAAATGTGCTTTCATATTTATGGCAAATGAAAACTGCTGGAAAGCATTCTGACCATTGGTGACGGGAGCGAAAGAGCTGTCTTGTGGCAGCGTAGATTCAGCCAGTAGATCTGTAACTGCAGGCACATCTGCATGACAAGTTTCCACCATAAGGCCTTGTTCATGCACTAATTTTCCATTATGTCACAGTCATGACGAGAAAACATACAAAACAACAAAGAACACAGCAGCACAGTGTTCATCCAGACAATCTAGCAAGCACAGTCAGTGGCTTGAGACTGTCATTTAACAAAAAGAGTCTGTGCTGCTTAGTGATAAATATGCTCCTAGCTAAAACATCTTTATACAAGTTTCTAGTGTCAACAAATAACACAAACAGCATTCTTAAATGAATAGAATTCACAGTGCACTAATGTTCATAGAAAAGTATATAAACTAACAAGTCACAAAGTGCAGCCTTTACATTCCAGATGATGTTGGCTGTCCACTGTGATAAAACTAATGATGACCCTTCTTTGTTTCAATAAGCAGTATGCGGAGTCAGAAGAAACTGCATTACAAGAGGTCCTGCATTGTAAGAACGTATGTTTGGGCATGTTGGCAATTCATTCTAACTTTTCATCGCACAAAGGAACGCAGACATAGGTCTGACTATCAACAAATAGTTCTAACACAGGTACATAAATATGTATATACACACACATACAACAAAGAGCAACAAAACACAGGTGCATAGTATAGGAAGATTTTTTTCCCTTAATGTCAACCAGAATACTGGCTACTCCTGTTAATGTAAATTACATTCCAACTTATTTTTTTGCTGTAAATTGACCGTGAGACATCCCTGACTTTTCTAATCAGTAAAAGTTTTTGGGCTGCGTTTACTGGGCCTGTCAATAAAGCGGCGATTGGGAAACGCAAAACCCACAACCTGGAAATGCTGAAGAGGTAGACATTATGCCAAATAAGCTTTGTGGAATAGCCATTCTGACATGACATACGAAATGAAGGAAAAGATACAGCAAGCAAAATAGGCAAGTGGCCCTCTTCTTCGACATGCCAAAGGGTTTTTACTGCACCAGAGTGGGATATTTTTGCAAGTGTGTGATGCACTTACCAGGTCCTGTGAGGGAGCGCTGAGACACAAGGTGGCAGCAGGTCGCAGCCACACGGGAAAACATGTTCAATGTGAAGGCAGCCGCAGCACTGCTCAAAGGATGGGGCCCTGCAAGCAGTGCGGAAACTAACTTTTTTTGACAATAATAAAATAACTGAGCTAGTTGATAGGTGTGCAGAACTCTCTACCCCCACTTTCAGTACTGACACACCTCACTTTTAAAAAACAATAGTGCTACAGTCGACTCCTCTTAAACGGAACTCGAAGGGAATCCATGAAACTGTTCCATTTATCAGAAGTTTCATTGAAGCAAAGTACACTTATATAGTGAATCAAAAACTTTATTCAAATTGCACAAAACTCACCTTACTCATGAGGATGAGGAGAAAAAAAAAAAAGGAGTGAAGGGTGGTTTGTTTGGCAAGCTTGAGTTGTTTTTCACAAGGTACGCGCCCATGCCTCACAAACTAGCCAGAAATTCTGGACAAGCCTCACGCTCAAAATAGCGCTGCAAAAGCTCAATAGCCTTTTAAGCTGATCGATCTGGTGGTACCACTGCACCGGCAATATTGTCATCTCCTTCATCACTGGAAGGTTGATCCTCATCTTGCACTTCGGCAATCATTTCCTCGACAGTCTCCTCACGAAAGGTACGAACATTTTCATCAATTGATTCGCAGTCCTGCAGCGTGAAAGGGTGCTAATGCCTCAATGTCGGCATCAGCAGGGCTTTCTTCTTCATCAGGTATTGCTTCTTGCACTTGAAAGCCAGCATGATGAAAGCATCTGTATATTGTTGTTGCCTTCATTTGCTACCAGGCACAAGCCAAAATGTGGATGGCTGCCGATAAATCTATGATATAGCATTTCCCGCTGTCTGCACAAAGCAGCATTCGATGGAGCAATTGTCTGTGGAATTTTGATGTTCTGAATAACCCCTTAATCCATCAGCTGGATCACTGTCGTTGCATTGGCTGGCAAGAACTCCAGAGTGATAACTTGAAGTCTTTCAACCTGACTGTGGGCTGGACAATTATCCACAATGAAGACAACCTTCCTGCCTTGCCTCGTAAATCTTGTGTCTTCCTCCCGTAGCCAGTTTTCGAAAATGGCCATGGTCATCAACGCTATTCCGTTCGCATGCTTTGCAACGGGAAGGTGTTGAACGCCTTTGAAACATCGTGGGTGCCTTGATTTTCCTATTACCAACAGCTTCAATTCCTCATCTCCTGCCATGATCGCACCCACCAGCACAGTAATGCGATCTTTACTGTGTTTTCCTCCACTACAGGGTTCGCCTTTGAAGGTGAGAGTCTTTGATGGGAGCGCCATATAAAAAAAAAGACTTGTCTATGTTTAAGACGTCTCGTGACTCAAAGCTCATCAAAATTTCCTTAAGCCGTGCCTGTTGCCAGTCGGTGCAAATGTGCCTGTTGACTGCAGCACTCTCACCTGAGATTGCTTTGAAGACTAGGCCATGGCGTATTTTGATGCGGCTGAGCCACCCGTCGCGTAGGACGAAGTTCTCAACACCAATTTTCATGGCAATCTCTCGAGCTTTCTGCTCGAGAATTGGTCCGCTTATGGGCAACGGTGTGGCTAGGGTTACGTCCAGACGTAACTGTAAGCATCGTGATCGTTACGTTCAGATGTAACTATAGCCAACGGTAGCACTAGGTCTAGACATAATCATAGCCACTGCTTGCGTTACATCCAAGGTACTACGGTGACGTTTGCATAGGCTAGATTTTCATGGAACTTCAACTAATCACAGAGAAATGTTTTTTTTTATTTTTTTTGTGGCCTCTACAGCAAGAAGTGAATACTTGATTGTTTCAGTTGCGCAACACCATTTACATACGACCTAAACATGCACAAATACAACAATATGATTACGTACAGTGAGAAATATTTGTCACCGAGGGCCAGTACGCCATTGATTGGCAGACTGTGCTCTCCCTCGCGTAATAGGAATGTTAGGCCGGCTTCGTACATTAATGCCAATCAACGGGGTACTGGCCTGTGGTGACAGCAGTATTTTTCACTGTGCGCAATTGTTTTTGTTGTACCTGTGTGTGTGTGAGTTTAGGTTGTATGTAAATGGTGTTGCGCGGCTGAAACAATCAAGTATTCACTTTTTGCTATAGCGGCTACAGAAAAAAAATTAAAAGAAGCATTTCTCTGTAATTAGTTGAAGTTCCATGAAACTGTACCACTTGGCTTTTTAGTTTGCATGAATGAACCACTGAAGGGCGTGACTGGAGCATTTGTTTGTGTGTGTGAGCAGCTGCGCTAACCGGCCTTAACAGGCGCTAGTTCAAGCTTGATATCACAAGGATTTTCAAATTGCCAACACTTCACGAGATGGTTTATAACAGATAGATGAATAAGGTCACAGAACACCTACATACTACCATTTGATAAGGCTGTACGCGTTACATTGGGCAGCCGCTTACGCTGCTTAGCCAGAATACATTAAATACTAGTACTAGCACTGTGCAGTGAAGGATTAAATTTCACTCAGGCCTTCATTGTAGCCACCAATCAATTAACCTCACCCTGGTCATTTCTACCTAATTAAAGTCTATTTTGCTTCACTGCCCTAAAACCTGCAGTGCTTTAAAAAAGTTTCCACCATTATCTAAGACTACAGGTGAATCCCTTTACAGAACAGTATCATGTCTTTCAGCATCAGCTGTTTTCTCCTCCTCGTCTACAAATATGCACTACACAATGTCCTTATCCCTTCGTATTCAGCTTAGTAAATCGGGGTCCGCAGTACTCCTACCTTGGCTTAATACAGCAGAGAACCACCCCAAGAATTAGTGTTTATCTTGCTTGAACATCTGATCTCATGCACAAGACCGCATAGTCCAATGTCAGACCAGGTACCATGACATCTTTCCAAACCCTCTCTAACATTGCACTTATAGCGATTCTACACTGCCCTATTTTTCATTTCAAACCAGAAATTTTCAACTGGTTAACCTCCCTGCCCTTCACAACACACACACACACACACACACACACACACACACACACACACACACACACACACACACACACACACACACACACACACACACGCACACACACGCACACACACACACACACACACACACACACGTATGTATGTATGCATATATGTATGTATAAGAGAAAGAAGTGTATACTTAAGTAAGGGCTCGTTTTTCCGTGTTTTTGACACATATGTTCACCCACTTTTCTTTCTTCACATTTATTTTAGGGTTTAATAACTTCGCCTATACATCCCTTGGCATTATTGTCTGTTAGGTCTCCCTGATATTGTGTTAAAAACACGGAAAAAAAGAGCCCTTGAGTATACACTTCTGTCCTTTGTTCATTAACGAGGGTCTCGTACTGGCAGACTTGGTGCCGTTAGGTTGTATACGAGGGACTATTGGTCAGCTGCCAGCTCGTAATAAGTTCACATGCTACGTGACGCCAAACTGGCTCATAAAAAGTGTCGCCATGGCTACTGGTGGTGCTGACTGACACTCCCATGTTTAAATTCACATATAAACCCAATAAAGTGGCTGGGGGGATAGCCGTCGTGGTAGCTCAGAGGTAGAGCATCGAACGCGTTATTCGAAGGTCGCAGGTTCGGTTCCAGCTAACGGCAAGTTATCTTTTCACCCACTTTTCTTTCTTCACATTTACATTACAACGTGGTCTAATAACTTGCTCTATACATCCCTTGGCATTATTGTCTGTTAGATCTCATTAACATTGTGTCAACACCAACACATGCACGCACGTGCACACACACGCACGCACGCGCACACACACACACACACATCGGCTATAACACAACGTACATGTGAAAAAAATATCTTCATGAAGACAAATTGGCCCATTGAAATATTACTCTCCGTATGTGGGTTGTGTGTATGTGTGTGTATATATACATATACATATATACATATATGTACATTACTCCCTTAGGTACCCAGCCCCATTGCTTATCTATTTGCCAAGATATTTGTATTTATCCACTATCTCCAGCTAGACTCGTGTATTCTATGACTTTCTTACGTTAAAATGATGACCACCAATTTTTCCTCATAAAACTTCAAATCTAACCTATCTCACACTCAATACCACAGATGGCTATCGATCCCTGCAGATCTTCCTTGTTGTCATCCATTATTACTATATGCATAAATGCTGGTATTGACTATTTAATGCATTTTTCTTGAAAAAAAGAGACGCTGAAGCCAAGCCGACCCCCCCTAATTTGGCCACTATTTCATGTCCAGCCGTAACGATGATCAGCTGGTAAAGTTACGCCCGTCGTGTGGTTCACAATATGCACTTGAGTTTGATAATCATTTGGCAGTCTCGGAGGTTTGGCCGTGTGTCACTGGGATATTCTCGCTTTTCGGTGCACTTAAATCGCTAACACTTACTATTTTGCTGCAGCGAAACTCCACGGCACTCTAGCAACGCAGTTTTGCACGTCTGCTGTGACCATTAAGGCTATTTTCTTTAAGAAAAAAATATATATAAGTGGCATGCTTGGAACATTAATGCTGCAATGTTTTAAAGAATACTGTGAAAAAAAAAAAAAAAAAGATTGCAGAGGGGCTTGAACCAACGACCTCACCGTCCTGCATGTCTTGCCTCAGTCTACTACGCCACAACTGCCAATCGGTCCGGGTGGTTCAACAAGCCGGTTTTGTATTGTTGTCATGCTGGACGTAACTTTAACATTTCTTATTTTCACATCTGGATGTAACTTTAACAATTTCTATCGTTACGTCTAGACGTAACACTAGATACTCCATATGGGCAAATTGGAACTCCGTGCACGCTTGAACCACAAAAAAAGAACTTTTTCGAGTTGTTCATAAAGCAGCGTCCGCATTCACATCCATTTAGATGTAAAGGTCCCCTTCTTTAAAGCGCCTTCAATCTTTTCTCTGTCTTTGCAGTTTCGCGAAAGCGTTGATTTTGGGATGTATTTTTTTCGCCACCTCCGTCTTGGACAAGCCGCTTCGATCAAGCTCCTGAAGAATTAGCAGCTTTTTTTTTTAAGCGAGAGTGCATGGTGTGGCCGCTTCCTTTCCATCAGGCTGAAATAGCACTGTGATCTACCTCACTTAGCCACATAAATATGCCTAACACACAACTGACTCGCCGATTCGGCTCTCACAGCCACTACAAGTGAGAATGGCTACTGGATTGGCTTGTCTCGAGGTGTTGCTATGGTTATGAGACTACCTTTGGCCTGAGCGAGTCTATGCTGTGTTTAGAGTTTGTGCCGTTTAACTGTAGGTGACCAGTAAGCACTGTTTCGATTAACTTATAAATTTTACTACGCAACACATAGAAACCCAGCCATATGAGCCCATTTAGTTCCGTTAATAAGGCATTTTTGTTTAAGCGAGTTTCATTTATTGGGAGTCCACTATATGTGCAATGCTCCGTTTTGTGTTCATTTTTTGTGCATTGACTTCCTTGGTTTCTACAGCCAAGCATTTGTGGAGCTTTGGCGCTTAGCTCCGCCTTCCACAGCACACACAATTTGTTATTATTTAGTACAATCTCAGGTTGTCGTCAGTTTAGTTAGATTAAAATTTTATTCAAAGTATGAAGGCCTATCAGGCCTCACCCTTTAATGTGAAGCTGTGAGTGGCTGCGAAATCTTTGTGGTGTTTACAGTATGCATAACAGACAACGTCAACACAGCTACAATAACTTCATAGGTAAATGAATATGACAATTTTTACAACTAAAATACCAGAAAAATGAATCAGTCAAGTGCTTTGTCCTCAAGCCCCTGTCAGGGTCCTATTTACTGTTTCTCGCTCCATCTCATATTCTCTGGGGTTTTCGATCACAAGAAGTTGGCGGGAGGGTAGGATGGCCCTTTGTATAAAGTCCTATATTTTACAGCTTACAGTTCACATTCACTAACACCGATCATTTTTATAGTTGTATTAAACATTGCTTGGTTATAACTTATATGTCACATGGCTGTAGACTTGTGTCAAGCCCTGCTAATAAACAACCTATCGGAGAGGGCCACCTAGGGTCTTATTGGAATGCAGGCTTGCCTCCCTTTATGGAAACCACCTAAGCTCTTGTGCATAGCGGTGGGATGACATGAGACACCCTATATACCTTATGTGGGGCCCAGTGAGTCTGATTTTCCCTTTAGCATGGCATACAATGCGTAAGACAAGAATTGGGACAGTCCTTACCTGACTTATGCAGCTTGTCAGTGCAAATGATGGCCATGGCGGCTGCCTGGAAGACCAACTCTGCCTCGTCCTCAGGTTGCTCCAAAATGGCAGTCAGCTGTGACAAGCACTCCTCACACAGGCTCTGCAGGCCACTAAGAAAAAAATTTGAGCTCCAACTACTTTCACTAAACCAGGCAGCAAGAAAATAAAGCACTATAAGATATTTCACAATAATGACAATAGTAGTACTGTACCATTATAGTCTATAGAACTTATTGTTATACTAACCTGGTGTCACTGTATGTGTAGAACTGCTCGCACAATCTCAGGTAGCCGCTTGTAAAGAGTGCTGATGGTTTGCACCTGCAGCAAAATTAAGATGTGAAGTTGGGCATACTATTTCTAAAGAAACTGACACATACTTTGGTTAGCAAATGTTAAGTGTATAATATTTCTTGACAGTGCAGTTTAAGTTCCGAGAATTCCAACAAGTTCAAGGTCAGAATTCTTAACAAATGCTACGATGATAGTGACTGAAAATTCATGTTCAAGATCCACTCACTCCCTATGCTTTTCATCGATTGCTATAGAGAACACCCAGCATGGAATGTAGGGTCACAAAAACAGCTAAAAAAAAATGCTGTTCTAGCAGTCTAAGCTGTGACAAAACGATTTAGAGTTGTCAGGTAAGACAATGGCAAATATAATTAAGACTGTGTGTGGAGCACAAAGTGCGATGTTCTAACTGCGTCTCATTATGCTATGGTAGGAGAGCCACTTATTGCAAGACCTGAAGCTAGTGATCACACCAGACTAAAGTTGAATGCATTGCGCAACGTTTTGTACTGCATTGTCAATTTAGCAATAGCAAAGCAAAGCCTTGTGTAGCCAAGTCATGTGCTACGCCTGGAAACGGAAATGCTGCACAGGAAGACATAGCGCTGGTGCTTCTTCCTCGACATAAGAACACTGGCATACAAATTTTCTGTATTGTTTCCTAAGGCCACAGCAACACGATGGAGAGTTTTGAATGACTGCCAGTAAATATCTTAGACTTTATTGACCACACTGGCTCAGAAAAAAGCTCATTCATTCGAACTGAACAGCACTTGTACTTTTCGATCGGAGAAAACACATGGATATGCACAATGATTAACTTGAACTAGGAGCCCCTGGTTTTTTTATCACTCCTTGCAGATGTCTGCTCACAGTGATCAAAATGACAAAATTTACTACTGGTGCAGAACAACGAAACAGCAGCATTTCTCTGCAGATGAGAATTTTGGACAATTCACTGAAGCTAATTGGACAAGCTGCAAATTATGCTCATGAAGTTGAGACAGAAGAAGTGAAAGCAAATGCAAATTGGTGATTACTTTTTAATTTTTGATTGCATTTTTTTTACCATGTAACTGAATGCGTTTTGGAGCTCACTGCTTACATGAATAGATGCCACTGCTTGTTTTTTTGGCAAATAACTGATTAATCAATTATTCCTGTTTGCTGTGAGAGTAAATATAAATTTAAAGAACTCATCTGCCACAAACATGTAGCGATGCCTGATTCGTAATAACTAGTCACAAGGTGGCTTCTTTCGGTTCCACCAAAGCAGTGTGGTGCAGTGTCTGTTCATTCTAGTGCCTGCCTATTCATTCGAACTCCGCTTATTTCGAACAATTTTAGAGTCCCCTTTAAGTTCAAATCAATGAGCTTTCACAGTACTTGTAATTATGAGAGTTGTACACATGTGTATAACTAAGGGCCATAATGTGCTCTGTCCTATGACAACTAGTGGGTCAGGAAATTTTAGAGCTGCAGTTTTTGACCTTGTATATATACAACTCAAGTACAGTAGAGCCTCGTTGATACGTTCCCACTTATTACAATTTCTTGGATCCTACGCTCGCAATCGCGAAAACTAGAAATGCCCCCATAGTGCAGCTATCTGTGAACTCCTGCAGCTATCTGTGAACCACACACAGACTCGTCTGAGCTGCCAAAGTCTTCAAACAGTTAAAAAAAAAAATTCCTTGTATTTTTTGTAGCGCAGTGGTTTTCTTTCTCAGCTGGCACCTGGGCACGGCACGTGAAAATGCGATCATCCCACACTACAACAGCCAAGAGAACACTACGAAGCAAACCATCTCTTCAGCACACGATGCACGTGGTGTCTCTGCTACACAACACGCCACTACAGGCTGGCATTCATGTTAGCGGGCAAAATTGATATTGCAGGACTCTATTGGGGGCAACCTATAACTCCATCTCACAAATTTCTTTCAGCACTGTCAAAATTACAAGGCCTCTTAGCGAATAGGAAGGCTGGTTAGCGTCTACACATGTATTCATCCGCGGCGCGTCGTTTGCTCAGCATCTCCTCGACGTCTGCTTGCATCCATAGGGAACAGAGGTGCTTCTGTGCAGCTACAGGACGATGAAAAATGCATGTGAAATAATGGAGTGTCATCAGAAGAATGTAGAGTGGAAATAGAAAAAAGTCCACGTGGTTTTCGTTTTGTTTGTCATTTACTTTTTAAACAGCGCTGCACTAGGTCGCATGAAATTTTACTTAGTTGGAGTTGCTGCATGCCCTTTTAAAAGCTTTGTACCACAAGATTTTTTTAAAGTGGTTTATTACAAGTCGTGAAAGCATGACGCGAGGAGGTGAGCTTGCAACCTTTGCCACTCACTCGGTGTATGCTGCAAGCCAAATTGCTTATCTGCCTTCTTCAATATCGAAGCAACTCAGAGCCGGAAGAACACATGACGCTGACGAATCAACATGTCATGCGCACACAAGGTTAGATCCGTATGACATGCCTCTGCGAGGTCGAGCACGCAAACGGTGTTGTGTCGTTTCGACGTTCTCTGTACTGTAGTGCCCATTTCTGTAAGATGGATCCCTCAAATATGAGCGCATGTTTGGAGAGGCTGGCATGGATCTTGTATTCTTACCTATGATACACAGCGTCGCACCACTGCAACTGCTCTAAGGGACGATGCACCAAGAAAACACCAAGCGCTCTGAATGCTGGCACCGGCACGATGCTAGAGTGGCTAGGACACCGATGCAAGCAAAATGTATGCAGACTAGTCTCACATCTCACCCGATACGAAGTTAAAAAAATAATATGCATAGATTTCTTTTTCATGCTTTAATACTTCTGTCAACCTTCATACTGCTATTCAGGTAACAGATTGCAGAAATTACACATGAATAATTCTCCCAGTGTCACACATTACTTTGAGGTACGCAGGACCATTCCTTGTTGTGCGTCATCTCCCCCATGTTGGGGAGATGACGCACAACATCTAAACAGAAAGTGATTCATCTCTGAACCGAAAGTGATTCATCTGATCGGGCGCGCGCCGATCAGATGAAATCCAAGCGGCGTTTACCTCTTTCCTGGGCACCTAGCATTTCAAATCTTGGCAGAAGAAAACATGAGCACCCAGTGCATGCACTCCTCTTGCCTTCTCGAAATTCTAAAATCTGGTGAAGGGCCCTTTAAGGTGTCCACCGTCAGAAGAGAAATGAACCCAGTGCGGTTAGATCAAGTTAATATGAGGCACCCTTCTAGTCTCTAGGTGCTCTATTTCCTCCTGTGTTTCTTTTCTGAGTCGTGCCGAAAAGAAAGAGCCTGGGGACAATGTTTATTCGATGGAGGACACTTAAGTCACCATGCTGGACTAGGAAACGAGAGAGCTGGACTAGCAAAAATCGCATGGCTACGCTGAACCACATCGCCTTTGTACCATCGTAAACTAAAACATTTCTGTTTGCGTTTCTGTCGTAGACACTGATTCCACACTATTTCTTCGAAAACTTAAATTTTGTCGAAGTTTATTGCGCCTATACTAACAGTTTTGGGAGCCTAAAACAGTGTTTTGTCTGCCTATTTTTGGCGCCTAAAACCCGGTTTTTTAGTGCCTCCAAATTCGACCTCTACATATTAGTCAGCATGTAACATCCTGTAAAAGTGGTTTCACTGCAGTAGAAATGTGCTCAGAGGTGAAAGCACCTATACAAGTATATAAGTTCACACATAACATATTGTAAAAATGGCTTCACTACTGCGAACTGGTGCTGAGCCGTGAAAACACATAATCAAAAGAATTACCCGCTGCCAAGAACCCCCACATCAAGGTTATATGAAGATATTACCTTCACATCAATTCATTTTTTTAGTTCGAAACCCCTTATACTGACTTATATGCTCCAAGTATAGTGAATTTTAAAACGCAACATAATTTACAAGCTATCACTTGCATTCTACAGAAGGTCAAATCCTGCTACTATTCAAAGTTGTTTCCACTTCCCTTGATGCAAAAAAAAAAAAAAAATTTGCACAGTTCTTGTTCAAATTTTCAAAAAAATATTGTGCAGGTTAGCTTGGTCATGACAAATACACCTCTCGCCCTTTATAATATGTGATACATACACTATTCGAATTAGATTAGAAATTATTCTACCAAAATCACAATTCGCTTCGAGCCTAAAGCTCACTACTCGCCCAAGCCTAGCTATATCGAACAGTTGAGAAATACTCTCGAATTTCCCGTGCAAAAGTATGGAGCTGGCGCACACGTATATCGAACTACTGCACAGCAAGTGCATTTTCCTTAACGAATATTCATCATTCTTAGGTCATGTTCTAACAAGTTGTGATCCCTCTTTGCACAAAAGTGATAAAAGGGCAGCGTTGATCTGGTTCATTGCGCTGCACATGCAAGCGCAGCGGCACATTCAATGTGTGATCTGTTGGTTTTAATGCACGGATATGGTGTTTTTCAAAGGGGCTGATTGCGGAGGGCAACAAAATGAAAATGCAAAGTGACTCTGAAACCATTTGCATTCCCTTCCTTTTTGTTTGTGCATGATGGCATGGGGCCCGAAAAGCATAGCCTTCAAGATGCGCAACCTTACGACGTATATTTGGCGCTTTCAGTTCTAAAACGCACATCTCGGAAGCAACACTTTTCTTGCTATTTGCCCCAAAGCAGTGGCTGCCTGCTACAAAGCCACAAATACCATCACTATCACCAAAATGTTGACAGTGGGAACTTGTTCCTTTGTTTTTCGTGGGCAGCTGCCAGCATTCTTGTGCGGCTTGTGGGCTTCTCGCTTCGTTCCTGACAAATTTTTACTCAAGAGACAAACTAAACAATGCTCATAGTTATAAAAGTGATAACTCATGCTTGGAGTGACATCAAGTAAAGTTCTGCTGTGAAATGTTTTCTAGGCTGTGTTTGAATTCTAGACAGCATCGAGCTCATGTTGTCCGAGAAATGGAACGCGTCAGGAAAATGGTGTCTACGCCACTTCGCGTCGAAAAGAAAAAGCTAACAGAAACAAACATAACTTGACCGTAAGAAGCAAGACTTTATGGACTAGTTTCATTCCAAATTAAGTGTGGTGGCTTGCAAAATAAATTCTCAGCTCGTTCTTTAGCATATTGTGAGCGAATTGTGATGTTGGCACTTGTTACGATTTACAAAAACCGTTTGGAGGCCTGCAATGCTTTAAGCGGTAAGGGGGCAGACTGGTCTTAGACACATTTTTGTTTATACCATAAGTGATCTTGATCAAACTACACAGGATTATGCAGTTTTTTCTGCTGGTTTCAAATATTTAATTAGTTTTCCGGTAACTCATCTTGGTCCTGAGACCCGTGAGCTTTGATGATAATAAACCAAAGAATACAATGTTTTAGAAAACTTTCTTCTTGTTATTCTAATTTTTGTTAGTTGTAAGCGTTGAAGTTACTCTCTTGAGCACCATTAATTTCTTCATGCCAGCAATTTCTCTTTTCTTCTGCTGTATTATTTTGTACGTTTCTTATGCCTTGTTTCAGGACATCTTGCACCGTCAGAGTTTAAGCCTTGCTCAAAGAAACCCAGAAGTGAACACTGGTGCGTAGGTATTCTTGCTTTGTGCTTTTATTTTCTCTCACTCAAACAATGTTTTAGTTAACAGTAGCATTCTGTTGACGAGTTTTTCCTAGCAGCATTCCCAAGCACTGCATATGGTATTAATTTGTAGCTCTGCCTGCTTCAGGGTAGCTGGTCTAAAGCCAGAAAACCTGCCTGTGGAAGAGGGATCTGTAACAATGCAGCCCCTCGACTTGATGTTGCATTGTTACCTCCTGGATGAGCCAAGTCAGTATGATGGATAAGAATGGGACAGAAATTAAGGTGGATCGAAATGAAAGGAGAATGAAATGAATGTCATGCTTGGAATTTTTCCAAAAATCAGCAACACTATATCACACATATGCATGTCAAAAATCAAGTGGTTGCACCCATACTGTACATCTGTCCTTAACCGAAGGTCTGTTAAGGGGGCAGACTGCTCTTAGACATTTTTTGTTTATTTCTTCAGTGATCTTGATCAAACTGCACAGAATTATGCAGTTTTTTCTGCTGATTTCAAATGTTTAATCAGTTTTCTCTAACTCATCTTATTCCTGAGATAACCTAAGTTCAACACCTATTGTTCAAGGCTGCCTTAAAAAAAAAGTGCTTAATTAAAGGTGATATTTAAGAAATGCCAACATAGGCTAATGACTATAGATTGAAAATATGCAAGAGTTTTTTGTTTTAAGGCCTTTCTTGATTATTTTACAGCAAAATGAACTATCCATTTTCAAAAGCAGTTGAAATTATATTATAATTTTGGTGAGTAATTAATTAAAAAGGCTTGTGCTCAAAATTCTGCTGCCATACTAGCATTCTAGACACATACAGGTTTAAATTGCAAAAAAAATTATTGTTGTACCTGTCCTAGCTGCAGAGATATTGAGGCCTCAAAATTGAACAGTTGCAAATTTACTTTTTTTGAGAAAAATGAAAAAAAAAAAAAACTGAAAACGCACAGCTTTTTCAAAAAGCAACAATCATGGTGTGCATGTTTTGCAATTCTCATAAAGGTGCTCATAAATTGGTACTAGAGCTTCGGACACAAGTGCCAGCAAATTATAAAGAAGCCTTGAAGTCGGTTCCTTACTTTTTGCAGGTTCTGCATGTTAACAGCACCAAGAATATGGGCAGTTAGAATGACATTACAAAAAAATTACCACATCCTGAAGTGGAAAAATTTGCAGAGATAGAAAAGTACTTGCAGAAACCAAATGCGTCAATTTTAAAAAATGAAATTTTTTGTCACTTTTTGGTCCCAAGGACCAGTATGCCCCCTTAAGGACGCCTATTTTGAATTTCAAACTATCGATATATTGAACTATTTCGCGATTCCCATTGAGTTCGATATATCACAGATTGACTGTATTATTTTCCTTTAATTGTAGGGTTAGAAATTGTAGGGTTAGGAAAATTTATGGCTGTGCCCGTACAGTGTGGAGCGTTGGCTGATATGGATCAGGTGTGAGGTCAGCTTACCCGTCTCTCAGTTGATCCACAGGAGACGGCTGGCTGCTGTTCTTGTCTAACAGGCGCAAAAGGTTCCCCTGTGCCCCTTCAAATGGCTGGCTGCTCTGCAAGCTGCACAACAAAGAGAGCACGGCTGCTGCCTCTAATGATGGCACAAGAGCAGGTTCTAAGCTGAATACTGCAACAAAATTGTTTTTGCGAAACACCTTTTGTTAAAATTTCTTGACGAGGGAAAAAAAACAAACTTTAACGTGTCTTCAAAAGTGCTAACATATAAGCTTAATAAAGCAGTAATCAACATGCATATTTTGTTGCTCCACAAATGCAAAATGTGCTATAAGAGTCACTGTAAAGAAGGGTATGTGAACATTCGAACTTTCAACATTTTTCCAAATAGTGCTTGCTGTTCTACACTCAAGACCTCATTATAATAAAATGACATCTTACACGAAAATGGGTTTGTTATATCCGAAAATTCGTTATAATGGTACATTCCTAACACTACATCTATTGCAAGACTAATATTCATTTACTCCATTATAAACAATATTTCGTTATATCCAGAGTAGTTATATTGAGGTTTTAGTGTATTCAATAAGAACCATGTGGGAATTGAGGCTAGCCCACTGCTATTGCGCGGGCTTTTTCGTTCTCATGTCCTAACATGACTCTTCCCTCCTCTGCGGTCCGTTAGCACTGGGGGAGCGGGAGTGGCATTGACCCCTCTCACCCCGATGTCAACAGTGGCGCTGCGCTTGAGCCTCCGGGGACGTTTCGAGAGCGTTCGTCAGGAGAGAGACACCTCACTGGATAACAAGGGGTGAGCACACATTTATTTCCGGTCCGTTGGCTCCCTTTGTTTGGAGCTCGCTCGAACTGGTCAACGGTGCCTTGTGCCCGTGGCGAACGCTTACCTTTCAGTGGCCCTTCCTAGCGTTAGGCCGAAGAGTGGTGCGATGTGTTAGCACGTGGTCGTACTAAGCCGACCCGTACCTCTCGAAGTCAACGCAAGCGGAGTTTGCCCTCGCTCGAGCGATCGGGCCCTGTTATCACTGAGCATGAGAGCGTGCAGCAGAGTTGCAAGGGCCGTTTCCCTCAGCGACGTGCTACCGTGAACCCTTTTGCCCATAAAGACGTGCTCGCAGCATCCTTTGTGTTGTATTTTTCGGTCATGGTGTGGATAAGCCTGGTTTGCTTTCTAGCCACCTTTTGCAGTGGGCGCTGTACTGCGTTTTTGGTGTTGCCGCAGACAATAAAGTGTTGCGACTTATTTCAGAGCAGTACTGTGTACTTGCTGCGCTGCGCTCGGTGCCTTGGCTGACCGAATGTGCTTGTGCAGTGGCGTTAGTCACGCAAGGCGACGGTGAAAGCAGCCCTGTAACTCGACAAGACAGAGCCCACGCTAGTGGCCGTACTCCTTTGGGATACGTGTACACTACAAACAGAAATTTAATATTAGAGTTTTTGAACTTCTGAAAAATAAACACTCCATATGCAAAATTGCTGCCATCTGTCAGCTGTTCATACCGCCATGTTAGAGGCTCGCAGAGTCTGCGTGTGTTTACGCAGAGTCTGCGTGTGTTTACGTATACGCAGATTCTGCGTGTGTTTACGTATACGTAAGACGTATCGACGTGAGACATGTATTGGCTGATAATCACAACAGTTTTGAATGCATAAGCCCAATTGCACCTCCATGTAATGTTACAAGATCTTTTAAAAGTACATGCTGCTATGTTGACGATGGGAAGGAAAAAAAGAAGCAAGCACAATGCACTTTCATAGAAAGTGAAATTTATTCTGCTGGCAATTATTTTATGCTTGTGATGCGCTGCAAGGTATGGAATATATATATATATATATATATATATATATATATATATATATATATACGGATAGTGAAGAGGCTGAAAAAAACCAGTGGGCGAGGATGTCGATTGCTTGCGGTGCTGACTTGGCGCACATGAGCCCACGTATCTGGCCACTGTTGTGGACAAGCCAGGCCAGAAGCAGCGCGTCTTGATGCAATCGTAGGTCTTGTGAAAGCTTTGATTAGCGGCAGCAATGTCATCGTGGGAGAACTGGCACCCACTTGTTACCGGTGGGATGGTAAACGTAGCGCTTGAGCACGCCATCCTTATGGCGAAATTGTCGAAGCTGGCGTCGCAAGTGGCTGTGAGGTGATTTAAAGACACTGCGAATGCGATCAATGAAAGCCCGACAGTAGGAATCTGCCAGCTGAAGTGAACATAAATCGAAGCTTGAAGATAGCTGCATTGGGTCCAGCGAGGCGAGCGATACGTGTTGTGAGGCAAGCTGGGTGTCAGAGTCATTCGAAGGCAATGCGGTGGACGTATTATCAAGAAAGAGTGAAAGTTGGCACCGGGACAGCGCGCCGGCAACATGATGACATTTGCCAGACTTGTACGTGATGGTAAAGTCGTACTCTTGTAAGCCTAGTATCCAGCGTGCTAGACGTCCTGACATATTCTTCATTGATGAGAGCGAACAGAGTGCGTGGTGGTCGGTGACGACGATGTGCCAACCATAGAGCTGTAGAGGTACGGGCTGAACAATAGCCAGGCACTTCTGCTCCGTGATGGTGTAGTTCCGCTCAGCTGTTGACAGAGTCCGGCTAGCGTAGGCCACTATCTATATATATATGTGTGGGAAAGTGTATACTTAAGGGCTCGTTTTTCCGTGTTTTTGACACAATATTAATGAGATCTAACAGACAATATTGCCAAGGAATGTATAGGAGAAGTTATTAGACCAATTGTAATGTAAATATGAAGAAAAAAAAGCGGGTGAAAAGATAGCTTGCCGTGATAGGAATTGAACCTGCGACCTTCGAATAACGCGATGCTCTACCATGGCGGCCACCCCCCTAGCCACTTTATTGAGTTCATATGTGAATTTAAATGTGGGAGTGTCAGTCAGCACCACCTGTAGCCATGAACACAATAAACATAAAAATGAACACAAAAAAAAGTAAAGGGAAAATTTAGCGATCAATATTAAAAGGAAAACGAAAATACAGAAAAGAAACATATCTGGGCATCAAGCAATGCCACTGAAACATGTCAAGAACTACGTATGCAGTGATACGGCTGTTTCCTTCCTAAAGAGACTGATCGAGACAGTGCTAATGCACTCTTCACTAACATGCATATAAACCGTATACCGTTCTACCAATGTGTATGGGGGAAGGGAGCTTTGTCAAGCCGCGACTGAGCGGCTTTTTTTCTCTTCTTCGCAGCCATCGATTGCATGCCGTTTCGAAGACCTTGACAAGCTCTGTCTACACAGAGCTGCTCGATTTTTGCCAGCAAGCTTATCTTATATATCCAGATATTCTTTCATTTCCGGCTTGTGGAAACGTTTTCTGGAGGACATGCAGCGGAAGTCTTTTTCCTTTGGTTGCGCCACTCAAGAACACAGGTTACAGGCATGCAAAATATACGCAATGCAAATATACGAGTGTAATGTAACATTTCTTTAATATGAGCTTTCCTAACGAAAGAGGTGAGCATCACTATTTCCACTTCGCTCGTAACTAATCTGATGCAGACAAAATGTAGCCAAGTACAAAATGAGTCAGTGTGGACTGGAATTAAAATGCATTCCATCGTCATCTTGTTGCGTTGCATTTTGTGATGGCACCGTCATTGCATTTGCAATGGGTGGTTGGCTGTTACTTATGATACCAATGTGCTTTCGGTTTCATCCTCAATCATCTTGTTTTCTGAACTGCAGTTAAATGGATTCACAAGATAAGCAAGGTTGTGCTAATGGACCTTTCCAGAAATTGGTGTGCATCAACTAGGCTGGTCACAAAGCATAATGGGAAGCAGGAGCACCGGCGGGGTGTCGTCTGCTCGCGCAAGCGTTGGCTCACCTCGTTTCCAGCAGCGCGCGAGCGTACGAATGCATCTTTGTAGGAATATCGCACGTGATAACCCTGCTTCTATCTGCACTCACAGAAGAGGCACAATGCAGAGCAACATAAAGTCAGCAAACGGTAAGTATCCTTGACGCAAGCTCGATCGCGCATACTTGAAGTGCTGCAGGCAGCGGTTGCAGTCGCTGCCACTGCTGCCTGCCTGCTGCCTGCAGAGATCTGCTGCAGCAGCATTCTCTGCTGTCTTAATCACAAGTGACGGCGTTGTTTCCTGGCGCCTTGTTCGTCACCGCAATCAGCTGATTCCGAAGGCACCGTGGTTGCCGTCGCAATCACTTGTGTTGCAACGCCGCTTTGTCGCGGAATCTGTTGCGCTCTTCCGCCGAGATCTGCAGATATCTTCGTCGGCAGTTGCGATAATTTATGGCACTCTGAGCGCGTGTTGCCACTGGTAGAAGTTGTAGCGATCGAAGGCTGCCTTTGTGTCGAGCTGCTGCATCGCGGTGACTGCTGGTCTCTTGTCCCGCTCGGCTCTGCCGACGTAGCCTGCGCTGGCTGCGATGACTCCTTGGGCTGCACAGCACATTTTTTTCGTTGCTTGCCGAACTTGTGAAGTGAGCAATGCAAAAGGGGGCTGTTTTCGTCGATTTCATAAGCGAAACTAAGTGCTGGGATGAATAAACACATCATTTTTTTGCTCAACGACGCGTCATTTCGAGTTCATTTTTTGCTGGCAGGTGCGGGATGATATGAAGATAACGAAAATCACCAAACTAAAAAATAGATTTTTTTTGGCATTTTTTCGTTGCCAAGACCCGTGTCCCCCCTTAAGAGCTTTGCCAATCATGAGTAACAGCAGCTTCTCTTCACCTAACGTTAGTGACTTGCACTGCTTTCATGCCATGCTTGCCACACTCCCGCTAAGTTGCCACTCTCCACAGTCGGTGAAAAATTCGAACCGCTCAGTTTGTGCAGATGAATGGAAATCACACCTTGGGAAAAATCACGAGCACTGCACTCACAGTCAGCGAAAAACCTGTACCGCGTGGTTGGTGCAGATGAACAAAAGTCATACTGCAGGGAAAATCATGTGCACTGCACAAAGCGTACGAGACAAACTACGCCAAGCAGAGGGCCTTCCTGCTCAGCACATGGGTCACGTGGTGTGCCACAGGGTTGCTTGACAAAGTTAATATGTCGCTGGGCTGAGACCTCATGCACTTTGCGTCCCCAGAAATCATCAAAGTGGCAGGTGCGGCTAAGTAAGAAAGAATCGACGAACTTCAGGTGAGGCACCATTGCGTGAATCTTATGAAATGATCCGGCAGGAGTTTTTCCGTTCAACTACCAGTCAAGATTTCGAGTTATCCGCAATCCAACCCGAAATACTTCGAGATAAAAGGAAAAATATACATGGGTTGTACAGAAAAGTGCTCGGTGCGATAAAAATTTCGACTTGGCTGATGTTTTTAGATATGTGAGCTCGAGTTAATGAGGTATTACTGTAGACAGTACAAGTATGAAGCCAAAAACTGGTACACTGAAAGATGAATGTCACTAACTAGAAGGGTATAAACAGGACATTATCGGGGATAATAAAAATTTACACTGCAGGAATATTTACTAAGCACTATGTTGTAGCCACGATGACCTCTTGTGATGAGAGGTCTGCCTGCAACATGCAACTGATTGGTACTGCAATCTATGCAAGAATTTTTTCAAGCCTTACACTTGTGGGAGTGCCAACAACCCCTGTAAAGTCATTTGAGCCTCGTGGTGTACGTCTCGTGCATAGGCTGCATTTAGGGGTCACAACCCAGGTTCAGGTTGTGCTCGCGAGGGTTTATTAACACCATCATCATCATCATTGAGAGCGCGGTCGTGCTGGCAGTGACGCCTGGCGGCAAGCCTGGTGGCTTGCGCATGAGAGATGAGCAGTGCTCTTTCGCGTGTGGCTGTTGAAGCGAGCGGTCAGCTCTTGCGGCGGATCCATGGCAGACGGTACCGCGGGTCATCTGCAGTGGGCCCTTGTGGTGAGTCGCGCGCTGGTGCCGCCGCCTCGTGTTTGTTATGTTGTTGGGTGTTGCAGAATATTGTGCAAGGTTGTTTTAGTGTGTTGATCACAATTGATGTATATTATTCAGCTGGGGATATCGTCGTTCTAAAAGTAGGCAAATAAATGTGTGTTGTTTGGTTCGTTTCGACCGCATCTACTGTGTCCGTGTTCCGAGAGCGTGGCATTCCATTGCGAAACACTACACAATGCAGAGCAGATGCCGCACTTCTAAAACTATTTAGCGACTGACTACGTTATCTCTAGGTACTTTGCTCACAACAAACGTGCGTATGTGAGAGAAAAAGAGAGGGTACTGACCATCGCAGAAAGTGGTAAGCAGCTTGGCAAGTATCACCAGCAGCCAGCGTGCCCAGCTGGTTGTGGGGCATGCCAGAGCCAGGGTCCAGCGACAGAGCCTGCCAGTAGTAGCGGGCAGACAACGCAGCCCATTGACCATGCTCTCGGTCCTCAAGCTCGATCAGGTAGCGTGCTGCAAGCAGTGAGTTGATCCACCAATATCAGTATCAGCCGCAACCCTAATCAGGTTTTCTGTAATTGATCAGTTTATTGTATTTACTCGCATAATGAATCCACCTTATTTTTTCCCCCCAGGAAAGTTGATGCCAGTTTGCGGGATGGTTCATTACACGGAAAAAAAAAGTCGTGGGAGTTACAACACTGAAAATTTCAATTGACGGTTTTGCTTCTTTTGGTCTGCAAAATGCGCGGCGAATCGTTTTTGTAGCCCGAAGCTGTCCTTGTTTTCTATCCTAACAGATGCACACGGATCGGCGCCAAAGTGTCGTCCAGCCGGTCAGTTTACGTGCTCCGGCGCGTGCTTGACTATCTTTAAGTTTAAAGCGGCCCTGCAACACTTTTTGAGCATGTTCAGAAAATACGGCTGATCGGTAGTAGAGGCTCCTGGCAACACGCAAGCCAAATATTATAGCGCAGCACGTGGCCTGGAATTCCCAATAAATGATTAAAGTCAGTTAAAAATTACTTTCTCTTCTCTTCACAAATGACAGAAGACGCTCAAAAATCCCACATAGCAAGCATATCTATCAGCCATTGGCGGATTTGAACATGGCGTGCTCGGTTGTGACAGAAATCGCCGCGACTTGTCTACGCGCGTGCGCCCGATCACACTGAAAAAGAAATGAGTGCTCAAGGTTACGAGGTGCGGGTGACGTAGTTTCTTTGCCCCTGCCATCCCTCCCTGCTTAAATTCCAGCGCTTTCGTCGGGAAGAGAGAAGAGAAAACGCAAATGCAGCATGCGACAAATCTTTGTAACTCCACTCGCACTGGATGAATTCTTAAAATTTTTGCGGCATTGAATTCCAAAAGGCAATAAGCTCTTTCAGTGAATTAATTCCATAGTTACTTGAAAAAGTGTTTCAGGACCCCTTTAAAACCAGCCGTGCAGACAGCGTGCCCGCTGAACACGCTCTGCGCAGCAGGTGTCCAACTAAGTTCTCTACGACAAACGCGACAAACAAAACGCAGTGTCGGATGATGGCGCACAAATGTTGTTTGTGGGAGCACAACATGCCATCAGCGCGGTTGCGCTTTGCATGGCCTCCGAGCTGGCAGGCGCATGTCATGTTTTTACACCACTTGCCCACCCTCTCAAAGACTATGCGCTTTTTCTCAAAGACGATAGTCTTTCTTAGGCACCTTCGACGCGAAAATTTCGCTCTGTCTGTCTGTACATTTGCCTGTTTGTCCGCCCTTAACGGTACCATAAACGGCACCAAAGTGGCCAAATGATACTCTAAACGGCCAACCCCATCCACAGCACCCATCAATATTGCTCAAAATTCAGCATTCATACTTGTGCGATTGTCAATTAATAAGCAATTATTGCGCATATGTGAGGCACCATAACAACACGTAAATATTCTGTATGTGTGTCTCTTACTAGAAAAGGCATACATAAGTAATTCTAAAGACTCTAGTATTTATAAGGTTGCGCTAACCATGCAACGCTTGCATGAAAAGGCAAGTGTTTCCAACGCTTTGCTAAGACAACATGGTGCTGGCACCTACCCGTCGCCTTGCGTTCTACACCTTACCAACTCCGAGACGGATGCGCACACTTTGTTTTCCAAGATAACTGCCAGATATTGCTCATGTCTCCCGTGTGACATAACTTGATGCGCTCGTTCACCTCTGCTGCACACTCAAGGCACTCTAACGCAGGGCCTCTACAATACCATTCACGGATTTTCTTGAGCAGAACATCAAATGAACATTTTGTTCACTCTCTCTAGACGCAAGACAATCATCTTTTGACGACATTTGCAGTGCAACATGCAGATACGGGGCTAATTTTATTGCTTTGTTTTTTTGCCACTGTGCTTGCGTGGCGCTATAAGCATTCGACAGATAATGCATTCCTGTCCTGCATTCGACAGATAACGCTCTGCCGCAAAAGGTGCGACATTTTGGTTGATGTCATCCTCACTTTGCTCGCAACTGTTTAGCATGGTTGTTTAACTATGTTTTGATTTTAGTCACATCGTTAATTTGTGATATATTGGCTTGATTAAACATTGTTTCAATCGTCAACGGCACTAGTTATTACACCGAAATAAAAGAGTTACATTAAACATTTTTTTTCTTTTTTCAACGACGAAGTTGGGGGGTGGGTTTATTATGCGAGTGCGTTTATTAGGCGATTAAATACAGCATAGAAGACTACTTGTAACAGTACTTGCATTTACTCCCGACTACTCTCAAGGTTGGCAGTGTTCAGAGCGAACCTAAAACAAGCACTCCTCTCTATCCTTAGGAGCCCAGTACAAAATTCAAGAGTGACGCCTTTACAGTTCGAGGTAAAGCATTGGGTGTCCACAAAAAACCTTCTGCGCCCGCAGACTGAGACAGTCCATCCCGAGTTTTCCCGCCATGCAAGTTAAATAGGAGTGACGAAAGGCCAGAGGTGCCACGTTGGTTCTGGCGCTGGAGTTTGGACACTCTTGTATGGACAGGCTGTGGTTCGACTGTCTATGCCATAATATGCAAAGGAGTCCTGTGTTGTGTGTGTCCATGCCATAAAAATACCTACCATTTGTCAAAAAGGCCAAGTTAAGCTTTATGCGGGTAGTGTAAACTTCATTTTTTTTTTTTTTGCTTTGCGGTTTAAGCAGCATTTTAGTGAGAGTACAGTTTCTTTAAAGCGAACTCCAAGTGTCTAACCAGAAGTGCCTCCAAAAACCAAATGCTGACATGCCAAGTACACGAAATACGTTGTTTGAAAACATCGAATGAAGTATACTTACAATAAAAAGGAAAGAAACCAGGAAAAGCATTTATTTGGTTCAGCTTGATAAAAACTATGATTTCAAATAGAGTATTTAGACTAATCTAACGAGTACTTCATTTCTCGAGTTCATAATCAATATGCTCATGAATACATTACTGCCCCATTTTAACCATAAAACATTAGCACAACCCTATTATGATGATTAGAAAAAGTTAATAAGATAAAGACAAGCACAATTTTTCTTCGAAGAATAGAAAATTATTCTTCTGGCTGTTCACCTTCTGAGAGGCTGTTTTGCTGACTTTGCTATCACTTTTGGATACGTCTGCCTTGCATACTGGTACCTTGACAAAGCCAATATATGCCAAGTTGCTTATGAAACTCTGCAAGCTTTTCTTTGAGATAAATTTTTTTATTCTCCAGCCCGCAGTAACTTTTTCTGCACAACATGCTCCTGAAGATTTACTTTTACGCTACTCATGATTACAAGCCTCGGGCACACACAAAAAAAGAGACACGACGCAGTTATATTCAGTGTGCAAAATGACCGTCTTTTGTCGTGCACTTTCATAATGAAAATGCCGCATCACTAGTTGCTGCATTCAGGTACGAACAGGTATGCTCACAGGCCCTATGAAGAACAACCCAGACTGACAACATGTGCTCAGGTGCCATTCTGTGATGGCGATAACAATGCATGCGACTCCGCTGATGGGAGTGCTAGTGCTGCATATGTGGTTTTCGTTTCATGTGATTATAATACACAGAAAATTTTTATTCCTCTTTTCACTTTCATTTGGCTTATTTTTGCCCCCCTTCCCTTGAATTTTTCCCCTTTAGCCAAGCTCTTGTGTTCTTCTGTTCTACACTGTACTCGAGTTGGCGAACTGAATAAAGCAAGGAGAATACAAAAGAATGAATGCTTTTTGTTGCTTTCTATGCTGATAAAACCGGCCCTTTCTCTACCTAACAAACTAAGGATTTCAATACAAGCTAGGGATTTCAGTACTGCATGATGATTACTGTGAACCATGCGAATTTAGAGCGGATCATTACCACATGCTGACTGTACTCACCTATATCACCCAATGCAATAAGAAACCGATGGGTGGCCTGTCTGGCCCAGAGTACATTCTCCACCGGTAGAGGAGCGGATCTATCTTCAGCTGGACGTTTTTGGGACCAGCGCGTTCCTGCACATAGAAGGCTTGTAAACACACGTGGCACTGTTCGTGTTGTATGAAATGCCACTCATGTCGTGGAATTTAAATGTCTTGTAGTAGAAAACTTATTTAGTGGTCGGGTGCTAACATTCCCTGCGTCACTCTATGGAGGCAGAACCCAAAAAAGCTACCTCTGGAGATGTTATGGTGAACTAGGCACTACTATACCTTTGTAGCAGGTGATTTCACTGATTAATACAAGGAGCTTTTAACAGCAAACAGAATTAATTCCGAAGTCAACGATATCGCATGCATGCATGCATGTAAGCCTTGACGTCAAAACATATGATGCTATTTATTCTCCAAATCATGTTCATTTTTATTTACATGTAGCGTTAAAACAATCAGTAGTAAAAGCAATCGGGGTCCCCCCTGCCTGTTCTCTGTACCAGAATAAGGTTATTCAACAACAATGATCAGTAATTTTAATTTTCTTGCGTTTATTCCATCGTGATCCCATGAACATCATTTAGAACTTGTTAAGAGCTCCAGTGCAGCATCCAAGTTTAGTCTGCTGAAAAATACTGCCGCTTCATCGTCTTGCATCTGTAATAAATTTACTTTGATTTAGTTTCGCAATCTACTGTGATCACTATGGGCAGACTTCTGCTTGGAGCGGCGAAAAGCGGGGGCTCCCAGTTTGAATTAATTATTGTGGATGCTGACCTATTCGAATTAAGAAGAAAGCTTCCCCCCACAGAAATACACAAAGCTGTGCCAGGACCAGGGATTCAGTTTGAATTGACTAAGTTTGCATGAACAGAGCTTGTATTAACGATCTTGAACTATACAAGACAGTGACCACCCCAGGCATATAAAAAAAAGGAAAGCTCAGTGATAATTATTATGGTGATGTCAGCAGCAGTTACGTACAACTTATATTAAAAAACTCTTTAAGTGGCAAGAATTAGCATGAAAAAAATCCGTAAACAGGGGCAGTGGTTCAAGAAAATGCATACTTGCTACTTCAAAAAGAACACATAACAACAGAATTGACATTTGAGCGCCCAATACGAGTGCCTTGATCACAATGAACGACTGTATGGTGGTCTTTATTAGTATATATGTGAAGACGTAACACGGTTGTGTATAACTCAGGGAGTGCACCCCATGCCCGATTTATAGTGTTAGTAGGTGTTAGTAGCAGATTGAATGCAGAATGTTTCAATTCCCTGCAACCAAGGCCTGTGTTGAGCCGACGTTTCAACAAGCGGACTTATCTTGCTCCACTTGTCGAAATGTCCGCTCAACACAACCCCTGTTTAAACATTTTTTCACCGCAACCTTCCTGCTTTGTTTAAAAATTGGCATAGCACGCTTGAGCAAGGCCTCCGACTAGTATTAGAAAGCTTTGTAATAAAAAATGTGATTGTGTCGAAACATTCTGCATCAAATCTATCTCGGTAATTCCCACAAAGATAGTTGCCCACATAATGTTTTCAACAAGTATGGAAGTGAAGAAAGAAAAACAACTTCTGTACTGTACACACTGAAAAAATGTACAGGAGATTCCCATTAAGATGAACTTGAAGAAGCCACAGTTGTTTGTCTTATCAGGAGTTCGGCTTATTAGAAGTGCCTCCTTAAAAAGACTTGCTGACATGCCAAGAGCATACAAATGTGTTTCTTGACAACACTGAATGGAGTAGACTTACAATACGGTGGAAATAACCAGAAAAAGCGTTTATTTGGCTCAACTTGATTAAAGTGGTGCCTTCACGTAGAGTATTCACACAAATATAATGAGCACCCGATTTCACAAGTTCATAATAAATATGCTCTTAAATGTATTGCCACAGCCACTAGATAAAAACAAGGTGCGGTCTGTTGCGTCACGTCGCCGTCTATAGGCGAGTGCGTCTGGGCAGAGTTGACAGTTTCGGCCGCTTTTTTGGTCAGGGCACTGACGCTCCACCTATCAAAGTGCTTTCAATGTGCTTGTGTTAGGGTTTGTGCATGTCCCTGTGCTTTCTCGTGCTTTTTTTGTGTGCAATCGTGTGGGGTGGGGGTAGCTTGCGTCATGTTCCCTGTGCTCAAGTACGATTCTTTGGTGCGCGCGTGTGTGGCAGACGGTTTTTTAGTGGTATGACGCCGCGAAGCTGTTCTGTGTTGCTCAGCAGCTCTAACGCAAAAAAAAGATGCTACTTCGAAGTTGGACGCATTCCCCTGCGATCTACAGTGTTGAGAAGCGTATTGGATGCGTTTTATTCGTAACAGAGCACTTAGTTTTGTCACAAACGAGCACTGAATCAGACGCGAGCTGCGCCTACAAACGACAGCATCAAATCAACCTGCCAAACTTTCACTTTACGGGCACGTGCAACCAAACAAGAAAACAAGCATGAAAAGGCTCCCAGGGCATGCCCTTACCCTCTACACGCACGACAACCAACCAGCACAGATGAGGAAAAATCGAGACATCGAAGCGGGACCTCTTTCGGGGGCGGCCATTTTTGCAGGCGAACCGGCGAGACGAAACCCTTTCCCCCGGCTACCGCCGTGGTACGTCCTACGCGCAGTACAATTACTTGGAATGTTCGTGAAGCTGGGAAGGATCTAAACTAGAGTTGACGGAGGGTAAGACAGGTGGTGAACTCGACCAAGTAGTTGTGATAGTGCAGTCAGTCGATGTTGAAGAATTGAGTTATGATGCCTCTGGAGTACTTTGTTGAAGAGTCTCGCCAGGACGATGACCAGCGTTGAAGTTTGTTTCACTGTTTCCTTGAAGAGAAATATTCAAGACACGTTTAAAAGAATTGTGGAGTACATGCGTGTGAAGAATATTCTAGGCCGCTAAGTGTTCTTGCACAGTTTGTAGTGCGTGTGATTGCATTTGTAGCACGGTAAGTTTGTTACCGATGTTTTAAATATCCTCACAGTGATTCTGTGAGTTGTAATCGATACCTGTCGAGTGTGAAAGTTTGTGTGATGCCTTTACTTAGGAGGAGGAGGTGGAAGGAAGGACAGGGAGGTTAGCCAGTTGTCAGACCGGCTGGCTACCCTGTGCCTCTACTTAAAATACATATTTTGTTTATGCTGTAAACTCTTCATTTCTAACTCGTTCTTTGGACCACAACCGGTGTTGTTTATGCACTAAAACAACAAACATTTAAATTGTGCATGCTTTTGTGGTGCGATTCAGTGGGCCGATACGCCAGGCCTTGGAATCTGCTCGGCGATTGCCTCCCCATGAATGAAATCAGCGACCCTTTTCATTTCAGGTGAGTCAAATGGGCAGCATTCATGGAGAGTATTCAAGCCTATATTAGATCAAATATTGTCCTTTCTAGGGCAAACTGTTCACATATGCGGTGCAATAGGTAGTACTCCTAGTAATGATTCAGAATCGAACTTGTGATGTGCATAATGATAGTTATAGTGCGAGAACAGAACGACAACAAAGAGACAAGAAGGAGACGAGGGCTTGTCTTGTCCTTTTGTCGCCGTTCTGTTCTCACACTATAACTATCATTATGTCATACCAACTAGCCCAAACCACCACACTTCTTAATGTGATGTGCAACTACAAAATGCGTTATTTACGACCTATTGTCGCACGTAGCAATACGTGTGAAAGCGTTTCTTCAGGGAGGAGTGGTGGTACCAGCGTGGGCGCAAGGCGAACTAGTCCTGTCCCGTCGTTTTGGTGGCACACAACAAGCCGTACACTGTTTTTTTATCCAGCGGCAGTGGTATTGCTAACACACATCAACAATAAATTTGTAGCACGGCCCTATTGACAATTCAAAAAGAATCAAAAAAGGGTGAGATAAGCACAATTTTCATTTAAAGAATGGAAAATTTATTCTCCTGGCAGGCAATTTTTCCGATGAGCCTGCTTTGTTAGCTCCAATGTTGCTTTTGCATGATCCTCGGTCGCTTGCCAAGAATGCTAATATACGCTGAGCTGCTTAAGAAACGACTACCTCTGATTCAAAGTTCCTTGCATTCCACTTTTTGTATGTTTAAGTCTCACTGCTGTGCTATCACTGCTGTGCTATCACTGCTGTGCTCTTAACTGGGAAATCCTTTTGGTCTTTGTTCCTCGCATTTGTTTTTCCTGTACATACCTTATTTTCACCAGTGGGCTTAACCACATTTTTTCCCTTTCTTTTGTCCATGACTTGAGTATCTTCAGACTCTGTGCTCTCTGTTAACTTGCTAGTCGGAAAACTCCAGAGAGGATCCGGATCCTCTACTCCTCGAACCCCTGGCACATTCCCCAGAATGACGTCATACGTTGGGTCTTTAGTACGAGTCTCGATCCACCCACAGTAATAAGGTGTCAAGATCAGTACTCGTACTACAGGCATTCGCTGTACAGTTCCATTCGTCAATCAGACCAGAGTTCCTCTACCTGCTAAACTTGCCTAAGAGACCAGGGGTTGCCTCACCAAAACGATGTTTGATCACATATCTCCGAGTATACTTGTCATCCCAGCGGAATTCCCACAACCACTGGCACCACAATTTTTTAGCGATTAAACTGTACTGTTATTGTGACAGCACATGAGTTAATTTCCTTCTCCTCGACTAGCTTCTACAATAACTAGGAAGGGAAGGTGTTGAGGTTCGGAATAGGTGCCCCTCGGTGACTCGAGTGCTCAGCGCGAAGGAAGAGCCGTAGTCCGGTGAAGAGACGCTTTATTGCAGCACTCAGGCATCTCCCCAAGTTCAAGACCAAACCTCCGCTCTTCCCTCCTTAGCTAGTGTACAAGCTAGTCGAGAAGGAGGAAATTAACTAGTGCAGTCGACATGGAGTGGGGAGCCCGCAGCGAGGAAGGCGCTGAAGTCCGGGAAGGTGACAATACGCTCACTGCTTCTGAAACTTGATGGTGCGTTGCGAGAAGCAGCATCGAAATTCTGCACGAGCCTGCTGATCAACTTTGGAGCCAGTGGTTGGGCAGCGTAAGAGCACTGCGTGTCAGGGAACGAGAGCAGAGCAGCAAGAACAGTCGACGCAGCTGACTTCAGACAACAACAGGGGCGGTCAGGTGGAGAACCGGGATCATCAAAGGATTCATCGCAACCAGCGTTAGCGACCAGACGGACGCAGGGCCAATTGACAAAGTCATCAGACGACGCATCACTACACGGTGAGACCTGCTTTGTGTTCTCTCGGGGCCGCAATTTTTTTTTTTACTGAATGCATTTGCGTTCAAGCACACTTTGGGAGATGGCGGACCCAGATAAGGATATGATGGAAGGTGACAGTGTAAGTGCATTGAATCCCACTCGGGAGTGAGATTGAAGCGCTAAAGCTCAAGCTTGAGGTTGTGGGATTTCGAGTGGCGCGCATGCCACGCTCTTGGAATGAATGGACGCAGCAGACTTGGTCATAGCAAACCAAGCCATACAACACACATTTATTTAACTACTTTTAGAATGACGATATCGTCAGCCAAATTATTACATCATCAATTGTCATCAACACACTAAAGCAGCCTTACACAAAATTACACAATACTCAACAACATAACAAACACAATAACGCACACAAGGCGGCGTCCCCAACGCTTGACTTACCACGAGGCCCCCCTCCCCCCCGCGCAATCAGCGGTGCCGCGCAATGGGGACCCACGCTAGGGACAATCGTTCGCGGCAGCTGCCACCCGCCAAAAAGACCTGCTTATCTCTCATGCACCACCACCTAGGCTTTTTCCTAGGCGTCACTGCCCGCGTTACCATTATAACAACAATGATGATGATGATGGTGATAAACGCTTGTGAGCACAACGCCACCTACCGCTCAATAGTTGTGAACCCTTAAATGCGGCTTTTGTGCGAGACACGTGCACCACACGGCGCAAACATTTTTACAGGGGGTGTCAGCCCTCTCACAAGCTAGAGAAGATGAGGTCGTCGCTTGCTTCATCAGATGTGCCAAAAAACCGGAACCAGCATTCTAGTGTCGGACGATGCACGAAAAAGCTTGAAGCCGTCCTAGCACCTATGCCCACTAATAAGCCTATGATTCCCGCTTGGTTCAAACATGTGGATGCTCTTTTTGTGGCATTAAATATACCCGATGAAATTCAGGGCACGATTCTGTTGCCATTCTTAACTGACAAGATGCGTATGCTCGTTGCCGATCAAGCAGAAGCTGGGGTAATGCCGTATTCAGATTTGAACTCGAGGTTGCTAAAAGAGCGGAGGTTCGTGCTTTAACTCGGGTAGACGCCTGAGTGCTGCATTAAAGCATCTCTTCACCGGACTATGGCTCTTCCTTCGCGCTGCCACCAAGCACTCGAGTCGTCGAGGGGCACCCATTTCGAACCTCAAACACCTTCCCTCCTTAGCTAGTGTAAAAGCTAGCCATGGAATACGAAATTAACTACATGTCTCGTTCTTACCCTGTTTTGCATGAACCTTGATTGTGCTGTCAAAGTAAACTGAGCTTTCGCTCGCAACAATGCAAGCAACAATGAAATTCGCTGGCCAAACTCAGCAGGTTTCTGAGGCATGTTCACGATGTCCACACCGGTCGCACTGCAATGAATTACCACGCGTACTGCCCAGCTGACAAATAGAAGCTCTGTGTTCTGCCTGGCCACAAAGAAAGCATTCGGTAGCACACAGCGTCTATTCTTTTTTTTTTCCCTTCTATTCCTCTCCTAAGTTCTTCTAGTCTTCAGCTTCCAGGTAGCAATCAGCATGTTCTGCCAGCTCGGCCACGGTCTTCAGGTCACGCTGCCTGAGATGCATGGTGACTCCCCTATGGCAAGATGCCAAAAACTGCTCGGCAATCATGCTGCCCCTCAGGTCTTAAGATGTCCTTTCTATCTTAACCATTTCCAACCAACAATCAAAGTATTTGGAGATGCGGGTGGCAAACTGTTGTCCAGTCTCATTTTCCTGAGGTTTGGTTCTTTACAACATTCACCATTCTATTTGAGAACTGTGAGCTTACCTCTGTTCAGGCCTTCATACTCCCAAATTAGTGGCACGTCCACATTTGTCTCCAGGTTCACTTGTGCTTCAGCCTGAAGCCTCAGCAACAGGTGGTGGTAGTGGCCCAAGCCAGAATGCAGGTGGGCTCGCAGCTCGGCCACATAATCCTCCTCTGCAGTAGCCTACAAGCACGATGCCACCCCCAGAGCATCATTTCACAGCTCCCAAAATTCTCTACATGCTCTCTACGCCACACTACCACAGAAACTCTATTCACGGTCACTGCTAAATAAAAAAAGTCAAATGAATAAATAAGTTCGGAAATGAGGAGAAAAGTCAATGGCAAGCCTGTCTAGAATTTTCATGAATGTAACATAGAACGGGGAAAAGCAGCGCTGCTGTGTCCATATAAAGACACAATTAAATCAACGAAACACAATAAAGGCAACTTCACCAACACAGAAAAGTGTCGACAGTGACAGCAAGGCTCAGCATTGTGCTTGAACCCGTCAAATGACGTTCTGGTTATTCATAGGTAGTAATAAATGTGAAAACACCGCAATTTTGGGTACTCTTAAAAGCTTTAGCATACTGTGTATTGCCTCTATCAGAAGACATGGGGTAAAAAACGCATACATCGAGAATGAAATGCTTATATTGTTTAAACATTTAATATGGTGCTAGTGGTGAATGCAATGCCTGGTGGGAGCAAGGTTTCCCAAAGTTCTTGTGCCTTTTTTTTTTTGCTCACATGTTACAAAGCAATCTTCGCGAAGTTGTGTTTGGTGGTACCAAGTTTTCGTTGATTCGGGACGATAACGTTGAACCCCACAGGTACTAGCGGGGCATTCAAAGTTCCTTTATTAAGTGGGAACTGTATATAACAGAGTATCGTAATATTGACATTTAAGTGTACAACGTAACAACCATAGGTCGTCGTAATTACCCATGGGTAGACTCACTCAGACTCACAATTACGAAAATTTTCTTCGACCAGACTGACTTGAACTCATCACCCAAATATTACTCACCCGGACTCACTCAGACTCAGATTGAGCCATAAGTCTGAGCGAGTCCGGGTGAGTAATAGTTGGGTGATGAGTCCAAGTGAGTCTGGTCAAAGAAAACTTTTGTAAGTGTGAGTCTGAGCGAGTTCAGCTCAGAAAACTTTTGGCGAATTTGAGTCCGAGTGAGCCCAAACCGCAATATATATTTCTTGAGTGAGTCTGAGTGAGTTCCACTTTCTTTTGCCGACCAAAGGTCCTACCTAGTCATCTTCAGCATTGCTACCAGCCTTATATGGATTCCCACTTTACTCACGCCTACTTACAGGTATTTTGAAGCAGTGTTGTTCATACACCATTTCAATGTTGTTTTTTTTTATCAGAGGTGCGAATTATGCAGGGGGATGCTTTGACATCCCACCAACCAAATCTTTAAAGGAAGTTGTTGATAAATATCTCATGCTATTAAAAAAAATGACCTTACTGATTTTCAAGCACTCAAAACTTGTTTTCGAAGATGCCATGTCAAACAGTGCCAAGAAAAGCACCAATTACATGAAATATAGTGGTTAAGGAGCACTGACACCATGGGCGAAAAAGCTCATTCGATGCTAACGGGCTCATGAGTAGACTCACCCAGATTGAGCCATAAGTCTGATTGAGTCCAGGTGAGCTATGTTTTCCAAGTGAGTCTGTTTGAAAAGAATTGTCGTAAGCGTGGGTCCGAGTGAGTCCAAAGCTCAAAACTTTCATGAGTGAGCTCGGCCAGTTTTTCCAACCTATAGTAACAACACACGCACACCATTCCAGCTATGGTAACGCTAACAAATCACCTTTAATGTTCAAGTAAGTTGGTATTGTAGATAAATTATTTCTGATCTTTTGGCACATGCCTGCTTTACAATAGGGGAGCATGAATATGCTTGTACTAATGCATCTTTTACTGTTGATTAGACATCACAGCCAGAGGTGAAGGCAGTACCTTTGTAGCCTTGTAGTGTTGCACGACATCATAGTAAACCTTGCGCCAGGTAAGTTCCTCTGCTTGACGGCCGTATTCAAGTGGAGCGGTAAACAGGAGGCGTTCACAGTAATCCTTCAGCCTGAATGCAATGCGGGAAGGCAATGTGAGCTCAAAGGCACCAAGCACACTATTTCGAGCAGCCAGTCTTGACAAATGTCGGAGAGCAATTATTTTTTCAAACATTTTTAGACATTTTATGCATGTAACAAGTCTACTGGCAGTTGAGGTAAACAGAACTATCAAGTCACATTTTCTTGCACTTACCTACGCATAACATGTATGAACAAAAAAGAAAAGTGTTCCTTTATTTAGGGAAGGTGCAGTTTCAGCAAAGCGTCAAGGCTTGCGCGCCCCTAAAAGAGGAACTGGGAATGCATCAGAGCTCTGTAAACTTCAGGAGTGTGCGTATATTAGAAAAATTTGAATAAGGAAACAAACATTTTTTTTTGCATAATATTTGAGTAACCAACACTGAGGAGGAGAGTCCAATGGAACAACGCGTTGAAAGGGCGACGGTCACTTTCGTTGTTTTAATTAGTGAATTATCAAGGTGCCTGTAGTCCAAGGTGCATGCAAGATGCATGCATGTCACGTGACACTAAGGTCAAGCTATTATAGGAGTAAGCTCTGCTCATCATCGGGAGAAGGATTTCTTGCTTTAAGCTCCTGTGTCACTGAAGCGAATGTGTCTTCAATCCTCTATCATTTACATCAGATTTCTATCATTTATTCGTGAAATACTGTTTGCTTTTCACGTCTTAGCTGGTGAGAAATCTGACGAGAAAGCTTAAAGTGGGTTTATATTAAAGCACGCATATTACTACAAAAACAAAATAACTTAAAAATCTGCACTACCATAACCTTAAACAAGCATACGAAGGACACTTCCTTGAAAATCGTAAAAGGGCAGAAGTATGAAGTTGTGGTGGTAAACGGCCATAACTCCTGTGATGCATGTAATTATTGGTCGATATCGGCCATTAGAACATGACACTATGGTGCCAATTTCTGAACCACATCACTTGGCTAGCTGTATTTGTGGCATCTCACCTTAGTGTGTGTGTGTGTGTGTGTACACAAGCATGCACACGTGCCATGACATTTTGTAGCAAATTAAGAGGAACTAAACTGGATGAAAAATCGCCCATTTCCTCATTGGCATTCCATTGACTTTTTTTGCACTTAATTTCCTTCAATTTTCAACAAAATTAGTTTTAAAAAAAACAAACGATGTCCCCTATGCTTTCCTTGGATGAAGTGACTGTTGGTTTCATATATAAGCATAATTATTTCTTGCTCAGCACTAATATTTGAAAAAATGTCAATGTGCTATGGTAGGCTGAGATGCTGTCGTCGTCGAACTCTAAGCTCATCCTCATTCAAGTAAGGTGCAGTTGCAAGACAGTTTCGAGCGGCGCGAGTATAATTTCTCTAATCAATTGGAGTCTCTGCTGAGATGGCCGACCAGCTATCCGACTGCCGTTTATTCACACAATCTTCAATAAAAAGCCTTCACATGATGGCGCCAATACCAGTTTCAGCTTGTCCATGAAAGATTGTTTCGCAACACCTAATTACTGGTGTACACCAGCAACAACGCCAGTAGTGGCTTTTTTGTGTAACATTGTGTATACAGGCAGGACTACAGCTGCCATTACTTCTCCTATTCGACAAGTACTGCTGACTTGGAGAGTTGGTGCGTGATAAAAGGGCTTAAGCGGGGGGTGGAACATGGGTTTTGAAGATAACATGGGTTATTTCTTGAACAAATTAGGTGACAGTGCACAGCTTTGCCCAGTTTCTTGAGCATTTTAAATATCCAACAATATTTTATGCAGGTCAACTATTTTCTGAGATAATTAGTGATTACATTGTTTTGTTTGATTAAACCATGAAAATTTGAGCACATTAACACTTTCGCGACTGCAAGAAATTTGGCCGTTCTTGGGTAGTTCAGAAAGCCTTATTTTTTAATGGCACCCAAAGTTACTGATGTTGATATTTATGGTGTCAAATTGTACAACTAGGAGTTATATTTCAAATACGGTTAGTTTTAAACCACAAATGTATTAACAATGGTGCAAAAGAAAATCATCAAACATGATTGTAAACATGAACAAAGAAATTTCATAGAACCATCAACACTACTCTGAACAGGCTAAGCATAAAAAGAAATCGAAATATACATTTTAAGCACAAGGAGCACACACAATTATCCTGTTTATATAAGCACTGTAAATACAATGCTGTAAATACAAAAGCTTTTATGTATATAAAATAGCATTACACGTAGTGTCTTTCATGCCACTGTGTGAAGCAGTCCCGCGATGTGGTAAAACACAGGTTTGCTACGCATGTTTCACAGAAAACACTTGCTTTCTCTTCAATTTTTCTTTGTTCATAGCATAATTTACAGTTCCTAATTTTTTTTTTTTTCGCTGGTGCCGTTAGGCCGGAGGAGCGTTTCGTGTAGGAGCATCAAGATGGGCTGTGGGACCTCCAAGAACCGTCTCTCTCGCTGTACGTCGGCTTCTGAAAAATATGCGTCCAAGCATATTTATTTGTGCTTTCGCGTAGCTCTCCAATAACTTGGACAGTAAAAAAACAAAAAGTCGACAGCGGTCATGAAGCGCCGCGCAGCACCAAGTAACGCAGTTCCTAAGTTCACTCCCGGCTGCCTCCGTGCACAAAACTGCGCTGCCGCCAGCAAGTAGTCCTGCCCAAAGAAAGTGGACGCCCTGCTGACAAGAGCCCTAATCTTCAGAACTTACCCAGCAATAACCCGGCCCGAGAACAAAGCTAACCTCACTGGTGGACAACCGCTGATGTTCCGGGGCAATTTGACGAACTCTCTTCGTCTGCGCTAAAATCAAAAGTGCCGATGTCGTCTTCTGAGCCTGTGCTGTTGTCATAATTTGAATATTTCAGCCCAGATGCACTAGAATCCCCCTAAATTCATCATTTTCGTGAAGCGGTCACACGCGACGTCGACGTCTCGATTGAAATGCAAGGGGTTCGAAAGCGTTCGAAAATGGAAAAATATTGAATTTGTAAACATCGAAAACATACTACCGATGGGGATAGGCGCGGTCACGAAAGTGTTCAATCGCATAGACATTAACACATTTATGGATACTAAAGATCCTAAGGAGGGCAACACTGCAAGCTAATCGAAAATTGAACAAGTACTTCTTGAACTACAGAATTATAATGTTCATTGTCTGCATGTAAGCAAGAACAAACAGACAGACAGACGAACTTTATTTGCGTCCTGGGAAGAAGGCTCCTTAGAACCCATAGAGGGCTGCACCCGCGACGGCGTCGGGGACCAGAGATTTCCGATTGCTTCACAGGCTTTCTGGACCGCCTGGAATTGTTTCGCAAGGTGTGAACTTGCGATACATTCTAAGAAGTCTGTCTTGTTTACGTGATGCCTCCTTGCTGAAATGCACAAGTGGGGGCACCTCCACATCAAATGAGAGAAGATGGCGAGCTGATCGCATGCCGAGCAGTTACGGGAAGTGTCCATATACAGCGCCATAGTGGCCGGCGACGGAAAGGAGCTAGTAGTTTGGAGGAGTCAGAGGGCTATCTGCTGTCTCCTTGTTAGCTCTCTGTGCGGATCCTAAAAAGATTTCCTGTCTAATCTGTAGTGCAAACATAACTCATAAAAGGTAGTCAACGGGTCCCCATCAGCATCATCACCACTCCCCTCCCCCGCAGTATTTAGGGGGCTCGTTGGCGTGAGGTGGAGAATGAGTCCTCGTGCCTGAACGGGACCCATTTCGTTGGGTTTGGTGATGCTGAAGACGGAGGTGCCCATGTGGGCGGGAACCATGTCAACTCATGAGGAAATACTGCGCCGCTAGTAGGAATTCTGTAAGCTGCTAAAGAGACTTGGCTGACGAGCTGACGGCCGTCATAGAATCCGAAAAAAAATAGGGGACAAATCTGTAGTTGTTAGCGCTCGAGAGATAGCGACCTGCTCAGCTACCTCGATGGACTTGTTCTTCCCCGAGGCGGCACTGACAGTGCGCTCGCTCAGACAAAGGCGCGCAAGACTTTTCATTATGCTGACTATTTCTTTTTTTCATTGAGTGTGCTTCAGTTGACCTTGAACGCCAGGTTGCAGAAGTTCTGCCAATAATTAGGGAGTGTCTTGCGCCTCTTGAAGTGGCGTATGAAATACCACAAGGAGGCACAATCCGCTTTCTTGACCTTTGTCTCTCTAGTTCGTTTTAACATATTTGCTGGTGCTATGAACCGCGGTCGGAAAAGCCTCCCAACGCATTCAAAGCCAATAAAACGAGGGACTGCAACGCTGTGTTTTAGGAAGGCCCCGATGAAGTTCTACCATCACACTATGGTCGCTAGTTTTGCAGGATAAAGCAAATGATTATCCTTGGCAGCAGGGGCAAAGTTCAAATCAACTGTGCCCTATGGCTTTAGGGGGCCCCCAAGGGCCAGAAAAAAGGGCCGACTTCACTGTTTTGTTCAAAAAAGTTTAACCCCCCAGCTGGATTTTCCTGATAAAAGCAGATTATCTATTTCAACAATTAATATATATGCTTCTAAGAGGTTGTTCATTGCATAACATGCACAACCTTGAAGTCAGCTGACAGTTCTGCAGTGTGGTAAAAACGTTTTACTCGCCTGAGAGCATGCATCTTGTAGAGGCAAGGAGCTGATCCAGCGGATAGACACATAGAGACATAGAGCACACTGAGCACCAGCGCAGGGATGCCTGCAGGCCATGGACCCCGTGAAAAAGTCCCTTCTGATCTGGCCATCACATTTCCCAATTAGCTTGAACAGTTCATTTCATTTGCGAGCATTGAAGGTTGTTCTTCTGTGGCTGACATGCTGAAACTTCTAATTCAAGAAAAGCTTGAAGGTTCTTTCCCTGATGTCCATGCGGCTCTTAGAATTTTTTGTGCTCAATGGTTACAAATTGTGCTGGTGAAGGATCATTCAGCAAACTGAAATTGATAAAAACAAGCTTCAAAATATGATGACCGACAGCCCCCTTGGTGATTTGTCACTGCTGAGGAGGTTCTCAGGAGGGGCAATGCTGAAGAG